GGGTGGTGAAAGGGGCCCACCACGGGCCTGGTTGGAGGGCGGGGCCGCTTCGAGGGGCGGGGCCGCGACACAGGGACGGGGCCGCGACGAGGGGCGGGGCCACGACTAGGGGCGGGGCCGCGACGGTCGGGCAGGGCCGCTTCGAGGGGCGGGGCCGCGACGCAGGGCGGGGCCGCGACGTAGGGCGGGGCCGCTTCGAGGGGCGGGGCCGCGACGCAGGGCGGGGCCGCTTTGAGGGGCGGGGCCGCGACGGTCGGGGTGGGGCCGCGACGTAGGGCGGGGCCGCTTCGAGGGGCGGGGCCGCGTGGGGTCCCCGTCGCCCGTCGCGACGCCTCCAGAAGGCGACGCGGCAACCGACGGGGCAGAAGCCCGCCGCGCGCCTCGGGGCGCACAGCGGGCATAGAACCGCCGCGCGCCTCGGGGCGCACGGCGGGCAGAAAAACCGCCGCGCGCCTCGGGGCGCACGGCGGGCAGAAAACCGCCGCGCGCCTCGGGGCGCACGGCGGGAGGAAAAAGTAGCAGCGGAAGCGAGGTGGTAACCCACCCACAGGATCGATCCAAGGGGATCGACCTGCTCTGATAGCATGACAAATTTAGAAGAAAGAAAGAGGGTTGAACTAGCAGGAATGAGGATACAAATAGCAAAACCCTAGAAGGGTTGTACTCGCTATAGAGCACCCCACTACAGGCTAGAACAATAAGATAATATTCTGACACTGCTATGGATGTATCAAGCACGAGGAACAACACGAAGGCGAAACGAGGTGTGCGCAGCCTCATGATAGAGGGTAGTACGTGACGAGAAGGTGAAAGGTAGAGTTTATCGAATCGAGCAGGCAGATTAGCAGTCCAATGTCCTCTGAACGAACTTCGAATGCTCAAACTGGGATGTTAAATCCGTCTGAACGGCCTTCAACCATCAAGAGCAGCGTTAGCGCTAGAGTAACACCTCCTGATGCCATGGAGCAATGCCACAAAGCGGTTCTGGAACGCGTAGAATGCACCATGACCAGTCAGAAGCTTGCTTTCACGCATTGTTGGCTACTGCCTGCTTTGCGCGGGAGTCGCGGCTCTGAAAGACACTTCAGGCGCTTGGAATGGGAAATTCGGAAAGACAAATGGGTACCGTCATACCCCGGATATACCCCCATGGGGGGCACTAATAAAACGTGTTTTTTTTTAGGGGGTGGGCTTATAATATAGTAATTTTATAAGCCCCGGGGCTTATACAATGACATATATGAAATCTAGTTGTTTTCACTTCAAAATGTTCATCTTGTCATTGCGATTTCAATCAAGTCAATATCATAGTGGGTGTGAAGAATGATCTAGTGTAAGTTTGCAAACTGCCAACACACACAGTCAGAATGAGTCATTTCGCCCCATGACAGCTCATTCTGACTGGAGGCGCAGTCAGTTGAGTCGCGCGAGGGTGGGGCAGTGAGTCGCGCGAGGGTGAAGGGTCAAAATTTTATCAAGTGAGGATGCAAATAGTGTGTTTCGCTACAGAGATTCCAGTAACTTCATAAAAACTAATACAAATGGTGGCTCTTATAATGCGTAAGCCTTCAGGGGGTGCGCTTATAATCGAGCACCGGATATAAGCGCCACACGCCAATTAAAAGCGCCAGGCGCTTATCCGCGGGTGGCGCTTATATCCGGGGTATGACCAGGGCTCTTGCTAGGATTCAAGCCCGTCTGAAGACATGTATAAAAAATTTCGTTTGGTCTGACGTTTTGACGAGGAAAAAATGTTAGTCTGAACTTTCAGACGAGTGCAAACGCCACGTCTGATTTTTCAGCTGAAATAGATAGTGCTGTCTGTTTTTTTCCAAATTGCATCGTGTAGTGTATTACCGTATATCGATTCAGGGCGACACAGCCTAAATGTGGAAGGTTGTTGGGCAGCTCGCGGCATGCTGAGGGCAGGGGGGGTGGGTGTTGGGCTGCGACAAGGACTTCGGGGGAGTTCGGCTAGGGGTGTTGGGCTGTTGCGAGACTTTTCGAGAGGAAAGCGGGCTAGGCTAGGAGCGGGGACCTGCGGAGGGGACCTAAGGCTGGGGGAAAGGGGGAGAAGGGCTGGACTAGGCCAGTAATATAGAGACGAGGAGCAAGGGCATCAAATGGGGGGGCTGCGCTGTTAGAGAAGCGAGGGATCGGGGGGGAAGAGGGAGGGGGGGGGGGAGAGAGGGGATTGGGGTCGATATCAGACAAAATGCAACCCCCTATCTGCAATTTCAGACGAAGTATAAGGCTTCCTCTGAAAAAATCAGATGAACTGAAATTCGTTATCTTACTGATCAGACGAAGTAAAAATCCTCGTCTTGAAAATCAGATGAAAACAAAAATCAAGGTCTAAAAATCAGAAAATCAGACCAATTTGGTCTGATAACGAGAGCCCCGGGTATGACTGTAATAGACCTTTGAAACATATGAAAAGCGGTATTGAACGGTGTGGTGGCATTCTTGCTCGTTCCCACCTTCCAAACCCTTCCAGTGGATCGCGTCCTGAGCCACCTCCACCAATCAAAAATTGCTTGACCGTCGCTGACTTTCCAATCCGGAATTATTGGCGTGCACACGACACGAACAAGGGACCTTCACATGATCACTGGTGCGGTTTGACTGGCAGCTCTGATTTTTGCGGTGACCGGTCTCTTGTCCTCGACGGTTTGTGGGCCTCGCCGGCATTATACCGGCCAGAAATGGAGGATTTGCTGGTCTGCGACGGCTTGAAGTTCGTAAAACCACGGAGTCATGAGCGACAACTTTTCAAACGATGATGAGCGATGCAAGGGGATTCCAGGAGTTTGCCTAATATAGCGTACATGGGGGCAAAACACGGAAGGACAATTCACGTTCACCGTGGAGTTACATTCGATAAGGGCAAAAATACATGCTCTGCTGCCACCACCAAAAGTGATCTAGAAAGTGGTCAGATTCTTTGCAGATATTATGAAGGATGAGCAGCACAAAGATGAGGCAATAATCTAGCTGTTGCTAAACCACCTATGTACAGAACGGCATGTAGTGGGTTCAGTCAAACAGATGCAGAAAAGCCTTCAAGATGAGGGGCCAACATGAGACACCTTATCCGCCAGTGGCTGCACATAAAACACACCCCTTGCCCTCCCTCCAGGAGCCACAATAGTTCCATAATAAGATTCCGGGAAAGCCATCAGTCCCCCAATAACATCAGCGACGGTCATTCCTGGCCCTGCAAGAATGCTCCCTGCGTTATAACACCATCCGGATGAACTGTACTTATAAAGCAGGCCCATCCTCCTTGCACCGCCTTGCTTTATCCAACCAAGGTCGAAGGGGGGACTGTTTGTCACATTGGACCAAGTTTTCGAAGGGAAATATCACGGGGCCGTTAGACATGGCACGGACGATCCCAGCAACAGTCGGGAAACCTTGGATGCTTAATCCGGCCAAGCGGAGCGAGTAACGAATGTTCACGCAGGTGGTATTGCGGAAAACGACCACGCGAATCACACCGCTGATATCGCCAATGCCTCGCAATGTCGCCTCCCCATGACCTGTCACGTAAGAGTTCAACGTTCGGGAGGGTTACAACAATACACGCGGTTCAGTCTGGCACATTATTTGGACAAAAATGTATGGTACAGTGCGTCGCTATCATGATGGCGTCAAGCGTTTATTGCGATGGTATCATCGCTTACCCTGGTAACTTCCATGTGAATCTCTTAATCGGGCCGGCCATGGTCGTGCTGCCGAATTCCCTGCGTTGATAGATTCTGTCGGTTTCTGAGAAACACTTAGCTGAGCAGCGGCATCGTCCAGCACGCGTACGCCTTCTGTAAGGACACAGAATGCATTGGCGAAGTCAATGCGAGGTCATTAAAGCTCGCAGCTAAGGATATGGTGGATAGCTACAAAAACTCCGGGCAATAACATTCTATTTCGGACGTCGGATTGGTCCTCACCTGCTATGGATGCGTAGACGAATAGCAACAACCAGACGGCGAAACAAGGTGTGTGCAACCTGATGATGGTTGTTCTTCTCCAACAGTCAATCAACCCGGTGGGGCAGATAAGCAACGAAAGCGATTAAGTGATGCTCAAATGATCGAATAGGGGATGCTAAATTCGCCGGACACCCGCTTTCCGCCATCGACAGCGTGCTTGCCGCTTTTTAACATGCGGCAGCAGCTCCGGAACTCGCAAACGCGCCATAACTTGTCAGAGGCTTGCTCCCATACTACTGTCGGCGCCTGCCGTTTTCCTGCGTGCGAGTCGCAGACGCTGAGGCGCTGCAACCACCAGTCTTCCCACAGGCGCGTCTGCCGCACAGCTGGCAGCGCCCATGATAGTTTACAAGTGCATTGGCTTTTTATGATAAGAACCGGCCCACCGTCCTTGTGAGAGTTTGACTGGCAACCGTGAATTTTGCCGTGGCCAGTTTGTTCTCCTTGACGGTTTGTAGGCCTCGCTGGCATGTTACAAGTGCAACCAGACATTTGCTGGTCAGCGACGGATATTTAGCTCACGAGCGAAAACGAGTCTAACGACGACTTTGCGATGCATGGTTACTGCGCAATAGAGGAACCTGACAATGTGGTGCGGTGTGCAGCCAAAACAGTTTGGGGTGGAAGCATATGCGGCAACACGCTGCGTGTGGATATGGAATCCGACTTCAGGCACGAACGAGCAGTGTGCGAGTGGCAGTGCTTGTTCCGCCCAGCTGGCTGGGTTTGCGTTGGATGGTTCGACCCTTCTCGTTTTCGTTGGGCTGTTGCCGAGCATTCACGATTGAAACGCTCGTTACACATTTTTAGGAAGAAAATGTTGCTAACACTGCAAGCACAAACACATGTTTTTCCTGCTAGATATTCGCTGGACACAGAGTCCATACCCATCAACTAAAGATAAATGCAATAAGCTTCGCACCCACTCCAGGCTTAGCATCTGACTGGCGAAAAGGTGCAAAACTTATAGCAATACATCCCTAACTCACCCATTCCACGTGCAAATCTCTAACGCCAGGTGTGGAACTTGCCAGAAGCAACGCCACCAGGAGCAGTGATGCGGCCACTATAAGCTGCAGGAGCGGCAACCATGGCCACAGCAATAGACCCAATAGTCTTGCCGCCATCAGTAGTCTTTGTGTTCGCGTTGTAATAAACCCCGGTCGCATTGTAACGGAAACACACACCAAAGACCCATGCGCGGTTGCGCCTCCTCCAGCCGTAGCCATAAGGCTGCTGGCCAGTGGTGTTGGTCCACGTGGCATCGGGGAAATCAAGGACAGCGTCGCCGTTACTATTCAGGACGGCGGCAGCGGTAGGAAGACCTGGGGTTGGCAGGCCGCCAATCCTCAGCACGTAACGGACATTGTAGTCGGTGTTGTTCCTGACCAACACATCAAAAGCACGAATTGGAAGCACGAATGACACGTTGAAAAGCGCACAAGAACGGAGAAATCACGGAACGACAAGTGCTTCATTGAGAGCATAGTACTAAGCCTGAAGTATGCTCGTGAATGGCACTCACTTGAAGACAACAACGTGCATGCGTCCAGTGATGTTGCCGTTGCCCGTCAGATCAGCCTCCACGTGGCCGTAGAACGTGCCCAGAGCGGCGCCAGGGCCCAGTCCAAGGCCCCCACCAGGTCCCCGTCCGAGCCCGCCGCCCCTGCCGCCCCCTCCGCGTCCCCCGCCAAATCCCCGTCCACCGCGCCCTCCGCCACCCCTGCCGCCGCCATAGCCGGGTCCCTGGGCGAAAACCCCTGAAACGAGAGCATACTGACGACAGCTTAGAAAAATAAAAAAATGAATCATCCTCCAAAAATGAATCATCCTCCACGTGGTCGCGTCGTGCTGAGCATGACACATATGGGATGCAAGAAAAGGTTGGCCTCGCCGCTGGAGTCTTACCTGATGCGACGAGGCCTAGGAGCGCGAGAAATACCACAGCCTTGCTAACACGCGCCATCATTGAAGATTAGATTGTCGTATTTCGAGCTGCTAGGAAAGCGTTTGTTGAAAAGCGTGCACAAACAGAGATGCTGGTGACGACTCGAGTTGTTTCAGAAAGTCGCTGCGTGTTGGTTTAGGTACCAAGTAGGAACCACGTACGCCAGTATAAGTACAAAGTATCCATCCTAGCGCCATGGTTCTTTTCGTTGTGGGAAGGTTGATACGACGGAAAAGAAGTTATGCCAGCAAGGCAACAAGTCGTGGAAAGGGAGGCTGAAATTACCACCAGACTGGCTCATCACTACTGAGGGGGTTTGCCTGGGGGGATTGCTATTCCAGCACTGAAACGAGGAAATGTTGGTGGGGAAGGTGTCGGTGAGGCGTGCTTTCGCGAGAAATTTGCAATGTCGAATGCCTTCTTCGTGTGGATGCTAGTCCCTCAACGGCTCCGATTGCTCCAATCGGAGGGGTACTTGACTTGTGCGACTCGGCAAAGAACGGTTTGAGCTTCTGGCTTCGCTGCGAAGCTTTTCGTGTTGGAGGAACTTCTGCGAAAGCGGCATACTCGGAAAATGGCCGTCCTTGATAGAAGCCTGAGCTGAATTGTTCTTTACAAGGGCCCCGCACAAAAAAAAAAAAAAAATTGAACACCTTCAGCATACGCTAGCGCACAAGCAACCTAAGAAATCAAGCTAAGCTGTCCGAAACCCAGGGCCAAGGCCATAGCTATCTGAGATCGCCTTCAGCATGGTGACCACATCATCAGTGGTTGCAAGCGAGTATCGCGCCAAAGACCGTTTGCGCCCCACAGCACACGAAAAGTATGAATCGGCGTTGAGATCAACAATCGGGCAATACTCCCCACTGCTCCGATGGCTTATTTCCTCCCCATGCCCATCTTCCTCAGAGTCCAGCACAGTAGGAAGCATCGACGAGCTCTCCTGTGTGGAAAATCCTGACTCATCTGAAACGCCGGTCGTCCCAGAATGGCTTGAAAAGCTCGACAGGTTGGAAAACCCAGTGATCGGTGCAAGCAATCTCTCACCCGCCTCCGCTCCATTTGCTTCCTCTCGCCTTCCACTCCCGTTCCCCACTCCCTGAGTCCCAGCAGCATTGCTTGCAGCTGGGGAACATAGCTCCGCCTCCCCCCTCCCGCCACTGCTGCTTCGCCCCATGCTGGTTTTTCTCGGGCTGCCCGTGGCGCCTTCCAGAGCTGACCCAAGAAGACTGACCAGTGACGGCGAGGAGAAGGAGAAGGCAGATTTCTTTTCAGACTTCTTGCCCCCTTTCCATCGGAACCCTCCCAGCCCGCCCCCTCGGCTCCTCCCACTGCTACTCCCTCCCACCCCCGCTGCCCCTGTCCCTGCTCCTGCTCCTGCTCCTATCCCCCCTGGTGCTGCTCTTCCCTCCGACCCTACTGCTGCATCTCCATCGTTGCCCCCTCCCCCCGCTCGGGACTCGGCCTTAAGCCGGCTGCTGCGTGCTGTGACAGAGTCCGGAGTGTGGGGCCGTGGAGAGGTGTCAGAGAGTGCAGCAGCGGCAGCGTTGGCAGCAGAGAAAGAGGGAGAGGGGGAGCTGGGACCAGCAGCAACCCAAGCACCAGCGGCAGCTGCTGAGGTAGCAACAGCAGCAGCGGCGGTGGCAGCAGCGGCAGCGGCAGCGGCAGCAGCAGCAGCGGCGGCGGCAGGGGCAGCACCACCATCCCTCCCAGCGTGCCTTCCCCCTCCCTCCATTTGGTTTCTGCTCTGCGGATCCCCAAAGATCACCCGCGCCACCAGCGGCCCCGAACCTCCCCCCCGAGCCGCGGACTGAGGCACGGGGCTGCCGTATCCTGGTCCGGCAAACATAGGCAGTGGCGCCGAGCCCAGGCTGTCAGGTCCAGGAATGCTCGGAGGAGGTGCAGGAGGGAGGCCCGGGGGAGGCTTGGTGTCAGGAGGAGGATTGGAGCGATCGTGCGGAGCGGTGAGAGTGCTTGTAGCGGTGGTGCTTGTATCAAATGTGGTGGTGGGGCTGGTAGTGTAATACTCAGGAAGGTAAGAATCAGCATGCTCAAGAGCCGTGATATGATCCCGTGTGACTTGATCCATGGTTGCCCCGTCCAAGGGCCCATGGCCCATGGTTACCATGTTACCATCCATGGATACACCACGGTTACCATCCATGGGACCCATGGTACCATCCATGCTCTGCTGGTAACCGTCCATGCCAGGCGGCATGTTGTTGATGTTGTCGTGCGGCAGGTCTGGCTCAAAGAACTGGTATATGTCCTCGTCCTGTTGGTTGGGAGATGAGGGGTGAGAGGAAGGGAGGAAGGGAGGTAAGGGGGTGCCGTCCATGCACTGCTGGTAACCGTCCATGCCGGGGGGCATGTTTTTGTCGTGCGGCAGGTCTGGCTCAAAGAACTGGTATATGTCCTCGTCCTGTTGGCAGGGCGGGGAATGGGAGAGCGGGGAGAGGGAGGGGGAGAGAGGGGAGGGTATGATTTGAGGCATGTGGAATCTAGGTCTGGTTCAAAGAACTGGTATATGTCCTCGCCCTGTTGGCGGTGGGAGGGGGAAGAGGGTGGGAAGAGGGGTTGAGGCGTTAGAAGATCGGGTCTGGCTATAAAAGTGTTGGTGGGTGGTGTCCTGGTCCTGTTGGTGGGTGGGAAGGAAAGACAGGGTGGGAAGGAAAGGCAGGGTGTTACGAGGGTAAAAGAGCGCTCAAAGCAGGGGGCCAAGGCAAAGCCCCAGGTGCGAGAGGAAACTTACAGGTGCATGCACTTGACTCACCCGTGAGAGGAAGTGGCCGACAGTCATGACGAAGTCAAAGGGGCAGGGCAGCGGCTTCTGGTGCACTATCTCCCCCAACACCCTCTCCATGGCCGCTCCCTTGCTCACCCCCACTGGCCGCACCTCCACTGACTTGCCTCCCTGCAAGGCACGATGGAAAAGGGCCAAGGTGGAGAAGGGGAAAGGGATACTGCTTACGAATGCTTGGGTCACGAAGTGCAGGCAGACGTGTGGGGCACGGGTAATACCCATAGCAGACATCAGCACCTGCACTAGGCTGCACCTGCACCAGGCCGCACCTGCACGACCTTGATAGCTGTGTTAGAATGGGCTAGGTCCACAGGCGCTGCAGCAAGTCGCGGCCTGCACCCTGGGCTACAGCACCCTGGGCTACAGCACCCTGGGCTACAGCACCCTGGGCTACAGCACACGGGCTTGAGACGTCCCATGACAAAAGTACCTGCACAACGTCGACTGCAGTATTCGAAATCGGTCCCGTCCAGAGGTGCTGCAGCATGTCTCGGGCCTGCACGCGGCCAAACTCCACGTCGGCATACTTGTAGTTCCACACCAGCGAGGTCTCCCTCTCCTCCACGTACGACCGCGGCGTGCGCTCCGTGAAATACTCAAACACCAACTGGCAAGGTGAGGATAGCGGAGGGGGGGGGGCGGGTTGAGAGGAAGGGGTGTGATGAGAAGGGGGATGCAGGTAGGACTGTGAACCCTGCCAGAGAGGTCTCCCTTTGAGTCGACTCAAAAGCGAACCCTGCCAGCGAGGTCTCCCTTTGAGTCGACTCAAAAGCGAACCCTGCCAGCGAGGTCTCCCTTTGAGTCGACTCAAAAGCGAACCCTGCCAGCGAGGTCTCCCTTTGAGTCGACTCAAAAGCGAACCCTGCCAGCGAGGTCTCCCTTTGAGTCGACTCAAAAGCGAACCCTGCCAGCGAGGTCTCCCTTTGAGTCGACTCAAAAGCGAACCCTGCCAGAGAGGTCTCCCTTTGAGTCGACTCAAAAGCGAACCCTGCCAGAGAGGTCTCCCTTTGAGTCGACTCAAAAGCGAACCCTGCCAGAGAGGTCTCCCTTTGAGTCGACTCAAAAGCGAACCCTGCCAGAGAGGTCTCCCTTTGAGTCGACTCAAAAGCGAACCCTGCCAGAGAGGTCTCCCTTTGAGTCGACTCAAAAGCGAACCCTGCCAGAGAGGTCTCCCTTTGAGTCGACTCAAAAGCGAACCCTGCCAGAGAGGTCTCCCTCTCCTCCACGTATGACCGTGGCGTGCGCTCCGTGATACTCAAACACCAACTGGGGCAGTGATGGCAGGGGTTGACGCGTGAGGGAGGGAAGGAGGGAGGGAGGGCAGGAACGGGGATGGAGGTTAGACCCTAAACCCAAACAACGATGCCAACCGCTCGTCCATGCGGCTGCACGAGTACTGCCACCAGCCCTCCTCACTAGACTGCAAAATTTACCTACATGAGCCACCCTGCACACATCCCCTCCCTCTCCCGCCCCTCTCACCCTCTCATCTAAGGGCCTGCCCTACCTCCCCCTGTTACCTGAACCGAGTCGAGCCAGTCCATGTTGAGGTGCTCAGGCATGGTGGTCATCCACTCCCCTCTCGTGTGGCGCATGAACATGCCGTTCTCAGCCGCCAGCCACACGTCATACTCGCTGAACGCCTCGTCCAGCACCGCACGCTCCGACCCGCTCATTATGACGATCGTGTTGGCCGGGTCGGAGGAGAGCCGACGCAGCGCAGCCGGCATTATCGGGTGTAGACGAACCTGGTGGGTGGGAAGGGGGAAGGAGGGAATGGTTGCGATCATGACCATGAGCGTTAGCACGGGAATGGGCATGGGGATGGAATAAGAAAGGCCAAAAGAATATTACTCCACAGTGTCAAATTTTGGCGAAAAATAAGTCTTCACTCATGACTCACCATCCTTCCTCACAGCACCCCTCGGCCCGCCTCTCACCTTCATCTCCTTGATCTGATCAGGCGTGCGCCGCCTGTGTGGCTCCACCTGAGCTGTGAGCGTGCCGTTGTAGCCCTGACAAGAGGGACGCGAGGCAGATGGCAGACGAGACGAGAGTTGCAACAGGGATGAGGGGGAATAGGGCAGGGGGCAAAGAGCAGCGGGACAAGGGCATGCAAAAGGTGGAGAGACAAGAAGCAAGCGTACGTGTGTGACCTTGGTTCATCCAGTGACATCTCATCCCAATTTGAAGCCCCAATCCGCCATGCAATGCAACCAGCACACATAATCATGTGCACCCGCACCCATCACCAGGATAAGTGGGTGCATGGACCCAGCACACTGGCAACAGCCTTTCCCAGTGGGTCCGTGCATACCTTTCCCCAACACCATTCCCGCCCTCAATCAACAGACAAGCAAACAGCACATGTGCAACCAAAGCAGGACGCACGAGGATGAGGAGGCGGTTGCGGCACTGGTGGAAGCGGTCGACACACTGGGACACGGGCAGCAGCGGGGGGATGTGCAGCGTGCGCAGCTGTGCCTCCACCACTGTGTCGTTCAACTCGCTGCAGCAATGGCGGAAGGAGGGGGCGGGTGGTGGGGAAGGTGAAGGAGGGCACGAGAGGATAAGCAGCAACGCTTCCAGCTGAGAGACCTGGGACGAGAAACGAGCAAAGATGCAGGTTAAAATAAAGACCACCCCACCCAATGCCTTCAAAGTCCTCCTTGGAGGCTTGCACTGGCACTACCTGACAAACGTGTCTGCCCAGGCCTGCGCGGTGTGAGTGGTGACGTGCAGGAAGTTGTAGCGGTGGCGGTCGACGCGCTCCTCCTCACCCATCGTGAGCGCGTCCTCTATGGCGCTCGACATGTCCGTGATGTTCCATGGGTTCACCAGCAGCGCACCCGCCCCAAGTGATTGTGCTGCGCCTGCAAACTGCACTTCCAAGGTTTAACAGATAAAAGGGGAAAGGATGTAAGAAGGGAGGTGGCGGTCCACACGCTCCTCCTCGCCCATCGTGAGTGCGTCCTCTATGGCGCTCGGCATGTCCGTTATGTTCCATGGGTTCACCAGGAGTGCTCCGGCTCCCAGTGATTGTGCCGCGCCTGCAGACTGCAATTGAGAGACAAGGGTTGATCGGGATGGGAGTGGATGTTGAATGACGGGTGAGTGCGTCCTCTATGGCGCTCGACACAACCGTGATGTTCCATGGATTCACTAGAAGTGCTCCGGCACCCAGTGATTGTGCCGCGCCTGCAAACTGCACACCAAGGGTTTGGGATCCAACATGGAATGAGGTTGAGGGCGTCCTCCATTGAGCTCGACATGCACAGGGGGCGATGCGCCGGGGGCGATGCGCCGGGGGCGATGCGCCGGGGGCGATGCGCCGGGGGCGATGCCCCGGGGGCGATGCCCCGGGGGCGATGCCCCGTGGGCGATGCTCCGGGGGCGATGCTCCGGGGGCGATGCTCCGGGGGCGATGCTCCGGGGGCGATGCGCCAGGGGCGATGCGCCGGGGGCGATGCGCCGGGGGCGATGCATCGGGGGCGATGCTCCGGGGGCGATGCTCCGGGGGCGATGCGCCGGGGGCGATGCGCCGGGGGCGATGCGCCGGGGGCGATGCGCCATGGGCGATGCGCCGGGGGCGATGCGCCGGGGGCGATGCGCTGGGGGCGATGCTCCGGGGGCAATGCTCCGGGGGCGATGCTCCGGGGGCGATGCTCCGGGGGCGATGCTCCGGGGGCGATGCTCCGGGGGCGATGCTCCGGGGGTGATGCTCCGGGGGTGATGCTCAGCTGAGGATGAGCACGCCCTTCTTGTAGGTCTGGCACGCCACGTACACATACTGGTAGCTGACCCTACGAGCCGCGCAACGTCCCTTGAAGAGCCGTGCATAGAACTATATCACAATCACAAGCAAGGCAGGCGGGCACAGCAAAGCCACGCACCTCGCTGAGGATGAGCACGCCCTTCTTGTAGTTCTGGCACGCCACATACTCGTAGCTGACCAGGTTCATGCCGTCCCGCAGCGACGTCACCAGCAGCACGTCCGTTATGGCGTACAGGGCGCACAGCTCGTGGAATGCCAGGGAGCGATCCTGAAGTAGAAGGGGGAAGGAGGAGGGGGATAAGAGGCGGTGAGGGGGAGTAACCAGGAGGAAGCCAGTCATCAGCAGCTGTACTGTAGGGATGGAGCTTGGGTTGCAGCTCACGCATCAGAGACTACAGAGATGAACGGTGGTGATTGGTTCGTACCAAGTGGTGGATGGGCACGGTGGTGAGAGTGCCGAATCGACCGTTGATTCGCCCCACGATCTCATGCACCAGACTCGTCAGCTTCTGGTCTGGTGGCGGGGCAGGGAGTGGGGGGGAGGAGACGGGGAGGGGAGGGGGGGGGGAGGGGAGAGGAAGGGGAGGGGAGGGGAGGAGGTGGAGTGGGAAAGGAATGGGAGGGTGTAGGCCTGTTGTGGCGCACATGACTCATATTGCAGCACATGTGTGTGAGACGGTGGGGTCTAGGCCCGTTGTGGCGCCACTCACACTCGGGCACGTCGGTGCGAGAGGGCACGGCGATCTGCACGAGGAGGACCTTGTCGCGCCAGTCAGGGTGCTCCTCGAGAAACTTCTCAAACGCGATCAGCTTCTGCGGTATGCCCTTTATCATGTCCAGCCGGTCCACTCCCAGCATCACCTGGGGGGAGAACAGGGAGGAGGTAAGGGAGGGGCAGGAGCAGGATACATACATCACGCAAGGCACCTCACAAGCAGTCGAGGTGCTCCTCCAGGAACTTCTCAAACTTGAGCAACATGCACGGCACGGTGCTCAAACTTGATGATGTCCTGTGATGTGATCCCAGGGGTCCACATCCACGCCCAGCACCACCTGCGCTGTCAGGCTTGACCATGTTGCTCCCCTCGCCTTGCCCTCCTCTGCGCGCCTTCCCTCGTTTTCTCACCGACCCGACCGACCCTTCCCACACCGCCCAAGGAGCTCTCACCTTCCTTCCGGAGAATCTCGCTCGCAGCTCCGCGATGTGCGTCTTCACCACGTTGCTCTCCAGTGCTGATATGAACCGCTCCGGGTCTATGCCAATCGGGAACTGCCACGTGGCACAGCACGGATGGAAGGCATGATTGTGAGGAGATTCCGCACACCAAAACACAATATACATGAGAGATAATGGAAACTATTGCACATACATGTGTAACGTGTCTGATGCAAGTGCACCACCAGTGTACCCTCTCTCACCGCAGCGACGCGTGTGAGTCTGCCATGGTCCTCCACGCCCTCGGGCGTGCCCTCCAGCCCCAGGATGCGCGCACACGCACTCACAAAGTGCCGCCCGTAGTCGTACGTATGGAAGCTGGGACAGTGGTGGGGGGCAGAGGGGAGCGGGAGGGCATAAAGGACAGGCGCATGGACGGGTGCGTTGAGCTCTAGAGCTGCAACTCTCTTAGGAGCACAGCACACCTTCAACCCGCCGGGATTGTGCGCAACACGCACTCACAAAGTGCCGCCCGTAGTCATATGTGTGGAAGCTACGGGGAAGGTGGACAAAGAACTGGGGTGTGGGGGAAGTAGGAAACGTGGGGGCGGAAAGAATAAAATCTAGCAGCCAGCAGCAGATGACTTTCAGACTTTGACCTTTCAAGAGCCCACTCCCATAACCCACTCACACGACGAGGTCAGGCACGAGCACAGGCTACATGTAAACCTTCCACGAATGTCCTCGTTACAAGCTGCCCCGTTAACTTTTCCAACTCACCCAATGAGGTCAGCGGCAAGCACAGCCTGCAGGATCTCCTCTCGGAGGGGCAGCGCTCGAAAGAACTCGCTGGAGGGGAAGGGCGTGTGCAGGAACCACCCCACCTTCATGCTGGCGGGTGATGGGGGGAGAGGTGCATAACCAGTTACACATTTGCAAGCACTGAAACGAGCCAGGCGCGTGCACGACATGAAGGCAACGAGAGAAGGACACGAGGGAAGGACATGCTACCTCTAAGCCAGCTGAACACTCACTTGGGGCTGCGGGCCTTGAGGTATTGAGGCAGCAGCATGAGGTGATAGTCATGCACCCACACAATGTCCCCCTGCCGGTACTGAGCCATGACCACGTCAGCAAAGCTGTGATTGGCCGAGCGGTACGCGCCGTACTGGCCCTGGATGGAGCGCGTGGCGGAGAGGCGGTCCTCCTGGGGCAGGCCGATGTAGTGCAGCAGCGGCCACAGCACGTTGTTGCAGTAGCCATTGTAATACGCATTCATTGTGTTCTCGTCCAGAAACACGGGCACGCATCCCTGGAAAGAAGTGCACAGGAGAGGAGGGAAAGAGAGTGGTGTGAGGGCAGGCCACAGCACGTTGTTGCAGTACGCGTTGTAAAAGGCGTTCATCGTGCTCTCGTCTAGGAACACAGGCACGCACCCCTGGTGGTGGGAAGGGGCACGGTAGGGAAGAGGGAGAGGGGGCGGTAGTCCAGCTGTGCTTGAATTTGTTGTTGCACAGCACGTTGTTGCAGTACGCATTGTGGTACGAGTTCATTGTGCTCTCGTCTGAAATGCCGGCAAACAGCCCTGGTGGTGGGGAGGAGGGAGAGAAGGGCAAGGAAGGGGGTGAGGAAGGGGAGATGGCATGAGCCTGAGGCAGCCCGATGTAGTGCAGCAGCGGCCACAGCACGTTGTTGCAGTACCCATTGTAGCACGCGTTCATTGTGCTCTCGTCTAGGAAGACAGGCACACAGCCCAGGTGAGTGGCGGGAAAGAAGGGCACAGAGGGGAAGAGTAAAAGAGATGGTGTGAGTCTCGGTGTGCTTTGACTCAATGTGGCGCACGCTGTTGCAGCAGCAGGCGTGGCAGTAGGCTTTGCAATAGGCGTTCACTGTGTGCTCGTCAGGAACACAGGTACGCAGCCTAGGCAGTGGGGACATGACGGGGGAGGGAGGGGACGAGTTGTTGGCCGTCTCGAACCTCGCTCATGGGAAGCTGCCCTTCGCAGTCACCAAACCCTTACTGTGCCTCTGTGAACCCTCTATGCGCCCCTTACCTGTGCCCCTCCATTGAGCCCCAAATGAGAGCCCCTGCATCACGGCCCCCTGTCAAGCCTGCTGTGATGGGATGGGGACCAGCGCCGCACCTTGGCCTGCAGGGCGTCGTGCAGTTGCTGTTGATCCGCAGGCGAGTGCAGGTACAGCCCCGGCCAGCCTATCCAACACGTCTCAAAGTTCTGCTTCACGCCTGCACGCATTGAGGGAGGAAGTATGGGTGAGGTGTAGGTGGAGCAGGGACGGAACAACGACTATCACTCCCAGCAGCAAGCCTGCCATTGACGCCTGCAGGTACAGCCCCGGCCAGCCTATCCAGCACGTCTCAAAGTTCTGCTTCACGTCTGTATGCATTGGAGGGGAATAGGTGGTGAGGAGGCTGCATGCATTGACGCCAACACACAGCACGGAACCCACCCAGCCGCAGCACTCAAGCAGCTATGGCACCCACCTAGCAGCGCGCTCACAAGCCCTCCAGCGGACAGCTCCAGCGCCCACGTGCCGTCGGGCTGTAGGCTGGCCCGCACGGGCAGGCGATTGGCCACTATCAGCAGCCGCTGCATGCGCTGCTGCGCGGCCGGCGCGGGCGGCGGGGTCGGCGGAGGTTCCATCTGGGGAGGCTCGACTGGTACAGACTGAGGGATCGCTGCTGCTGCAGCTGCTGCTGCTGCTGCTGCCATGGCTGGTCCTGCCGATGCTGCTGCTGCTGCTGCTTCTGCCTCTGCTTCTGCTGTGAGAGACACTGCTGCTGCTGGTCCCAACGGTTCTAGCATCCGACCAGGGTCTAGAACATGGCTAGGGGTGCCTGGCCTACCTCCCATCCTATGCTGTGGTGACGCTACAGCCGGCCCTGCTACAGGCGACCCCGCTGCAGCCGGCCTACCTACATCCGCCCCCGCTACAGCCGGCCTTGCTACAGCCGGCCCTGTTCCCCCTGCTCCCATACCCCCCGGAACAGCCACTCCCAGACCCGGAATCCCAGCCACCCCTGGCAGCACCGTCACCCCAGGACTCGCACCCCCCACTCCCACGTCCCCCGCTCCCATCCCCTCTTCCGGGATCCTATCCGTCAAACCTGCTGCCTGTGCCGCCGCAGCAGTGAGCTCCCCGCTGCTCTGCACGCGCTGCATGGCGCCCCCACCCCTGAACCCCGGGTAGGCTGTGAGGGACGACGACAGGCGGGGCGTGGAGCCTGCCGGGCGTGGGATGGCAGGTGATGAGGCCATGTGGGGAGAGGAAGAGAGAGGGTATGGTGAGGGGACGGCAGAGGGGAGGCGGGGTGGTGTGGAGGTGTAAGGGGTGGGAATGGATGAGCTGTGGGGGGTGTGAGCAGCGGCAACAGCAGCCAGGTTGTCATAGCTGGAGTTCCGGCTGTCCGGGCCTAACATGAGGTCCACCGGGGCTAGTGGCCCGGACCTGGTGCCTCGGGCTGCCGCGCCAAACGCGAAGCTGCCTCGGGAGGCCGTGCTGGCTCGGCCAACCATGGGCGCACGCCCTGGCACCCACGCTGCGCCTGCGCCCCCTCCTGCGCCCCCTCCTCCCCCTCCCCCTCCGCCTCCTCCGCCTCCTGCTCCCATTCCCGATGCTCCTCCTGTTCCGCCAGGAGCCGGCGGCCCAGCAATTGACCCAGCACTGCCGTGTGACGTGGCAATGCCACGTGGCGTCATGATCCGCCCGTCCACCGAATCCACGTCGAACTGGAGGAAGCTCGAGCTGCGCCTCATCTGCCTCTCCCTCAGCAACCGCTCGACCCGGGTGGATGACTGAGATGGTGGTATCGACCGAGGGGTAGTTGGCTGCCGTAGGAAATTACCCATGGAATTGTTGAAACTGCCCGAACCAACAGTGGAAAACGAGCCGGAATTGGAAGGGCCGTTGGCTGACGCGGCGGCTGCTGCTGCCTGCGCAGCCTGAACGGCTGCGATTGCATCTTGGGCGGCCTCCTCATAAGAAGAGGAGAGGCCTCGGTAGAAAGTGGGACGACGGGGTGTGCCTGGCATGTTAATCCCTTGCCCTTGCTGTTGCTGTTGCTGCTGCAGTTGTTGCTGCTGCTGCTGCAACTGGGTTAGGTGCTGGTGAAGCGGGTACAGCAGCTGCTGCACCTGCGCCTGCACCTGTGGCGGGTGAGCCTGTAGCCCGTGCCTCTCAGGCCCACTGGCGCCACTGCCGCTGCCGCTCGTCGCATGCGCCAGCCTGGCGATCTCCCGCGGGGTGGAAAGAGAGAACCTCCGCTGGATCCTGCCGCCCTCGAACCCGAATCTTGATCCAGATGCACCTCCCCCGGGTCCACCTTCCCCGCTCACTCCCCCCGCTCCCCCCCCAGCGCCGTAGCTGGCATCAGCGCCACCCTGCCTCCCCGCGCCGTCGCCTGCTGCGCAACTCCACGGATCCCTGCCTGCTTCCAGGACACTTCGCACGTCCGCATCCTGATAGGGAACGCGGATAGCCCAAGGCCCGGCGTCATAGTGCCCTCTGCCCGCCCCCCCCGACCCCCGCGCTCCGCCTGCTGCGCCAGCGGGTGCTCCGCCAGCTGCGGTTCCGATTCCCCCAGGGGTGAAGTTGCTGCTGAGGCTGCTTCTCCGCGGGGGGGCTTCCGCGGATCCATCTTCCGCAGCGCGGTCGGGGGGTTTGATGGAGAGGGAATAGCGCGTGGGCGCCATGGGAGGAGGTTAAGTTGGGTATTGTGAAGTCTCAGAGACCAACTGCGCAAAGTCCAACTTTGTGTCAGAAGATTGGCTCAACATCTCACGGCCTGACTTACAGCAGCAATTCCCATCATTCACGAGAGCCTGAATAATTTTGAAGCGCGTCCAGGCTTATGGTAGATTCTAGGGCCAAAAAGTCTGATTCCAAATACTGTGACTGATGCAGTCTTTCGCAACCACTACTCCTGGGATCCCTAGAAAGTGCTAGCTTTGTTACCGAGTAGTGACAGCACAGCAACGGTCGTCAGCGAAAGCGCCAGCTCGTCGCAGAAAGAGTACTCGCGAAAAGAATCCCTCGCAGTCTAAGCAAGTAAGAAACCCGTCGAATTGACGGCGGAAACATCTGGCCATGCGACACGAAGGACCTGTTTTCACAAACATATGAGAGTCCTGACGATTGCGGGCACTAGTTACTAGGAGGTCACCTACTGAAGAAACTCTTGCTACCTACTGAAGCAGAAGGAACGAATCGGCGTCACTGATGGCTGGCTGTCAAACTAAAATAACCGAAACTGGGAGAATCTTGTGCTAGTGGTCTGACATGGAACTGACAGCCAGAGTGCTTTGCCTGTAACGAGGATATCACCGCCTATATTTCCCCACCTGACAAAGAAGCTCAAAAGAGCATCATCCTTTACGGATTGGTGTGTGTGGCCAGTGCTGGGCCAATGTGATGTGTCAACTGGGCTACCAGTTGACGTGGCATATCAGAGGCTTCCGTGGTGACGTTTAACTAAGCTCTAAAACCTTTTCTGACACCAAGTTCCTGTCACACAAATATCACGAATTGCCGATTTTCGGCAGCCCGCGGCTCACATCGAGATTTTGCAGTGTGGCTGCATTTGGTGTTCCTGTAACGAGTTTTCATTTGTCGAGGTTTGGAACTCGAGGCTGGGTGCGGCATTTTGAACCGAACCTGAACGGCTCGGTGCCGTACCAGGCTGCAAATTCAGCTGCTCCAGCCAGAACGGAGGGTGGCGTGGCGATTTCGCGTAGAAGGACCGCTGACACGTCTTTAGTAGCTACTCGTCAGAGTCACGATGCGCGCCGCTGAAGAGTAACTTACCAGGACTAGGGACGAGCTGACAGAGTGAGGCCTAGGTTGATGCAAGCAATTCCGCCCTAAGATCCCTCTCTCACATCTTATGTTGTGAGGAATTTGCCATGAAGGTTCTGACGTTGCCTCCCGCCATAGCCACGTTCGTTATAGTGGTCCTCGGCGAGGTGATCTTGAGAGCACTTCGCCGCTTCCTCCCGGTACGCGCGTCGACTTTATGATTGCCCCAGATAGAATATATACCCGTAGTATCTCTTCATGCGCCCCGTTGATTTGCAACCGAAGCGATCCCAGCCTTGCTTTCATACGTGAAGCTCGTCTGGCACGCGTTCTCCTCGTTATATGAATTCCTCGTGGTCTCATAACGCAGCCTTGGCGGCTTGTGACTGGACTCGGATCGAAACACACCTGATTAACGCGTGGCTTGTCTAACGCACCGTTTCCGTGGCCAGGAGAATCTTTCAGCGCGGAAAGAGGCGGCTCTTGCGGCGGAGATAAAGCGCCTCAAGAAGGAGGCGAATCGGCTGAACACGTGAGTCCTGCGAATCGAGATTTTGCTGGTTATTGCTGTGTCGTTCGTTTATGGAACTCCTGCTTTTCGGTTCGTAGCCTTCCTTCGTCGACATTTCTCCCCTGTAGCTCGTTCTTCTTCCCCCGGTCCGCATCGTCCCCCGTCTTCATGATTTCCCAGATCTCATTCTTCCCCTACCTCATTCTACCCCCCCCCCCCCCCCCCCCCCCTGATTCTTCTCCCCCCCCCCCTGATTCTTCCCCACCCACAGCCCCAGCACCTTCTCTCGCTCTGCACTTCTAACTCGCACTGCCACTGCCAAGGAGAAAGAGCTGAACGCCTGTACGTGATGTGAATCGCCGCGCATGGTGCTCATCCTGTCATGGAATCTCACCACTTCTTGTGCATCTTCCATTCATGTGCTTTGGTTTCCTGATTCCATGTTTGCCTCTGCACATGCACAAGTCCTTCAATCCATTCCCCCTGTGCTATTTGGCAGTGAAGGCGCAGCCATCCCGTATCTGGTGGACGCTGATTCGCTTTGTCCTCCCATACACCATACAGGTACATCCACAGATGTACACATGCACATGCACGTGCACGTGCACATGCACATGCACATGCGCATCACATACATCATGCACGTCTTCAGTTAGAACGACTCTATGTGGGTGGTGGATGGGCGTACATCATCTGGCCTCTGGTCGATCGGTCCAAGCACCATCGCCACTGAATTGCGGATCTCGAATCATGAAGCATCTTAATTTTCAAACGTCCCACAAATGTGCTCCATTCTCTTACTCAGTTTTGCTCTTTTATTTTTCACTCGTTCCACTCTGCTGCACTCCTGTGCAGGCATGCGCCTATGTGCTGCTGGTGCTCTCGTTCCGCTCCAAGCCCGTTGTCATTCTGCCGGTGGACGTCGTCTATCCATTCGGTGAGCACTGCTGCACAGCTACTCTTCTGATGACAGCCGCTGTGCCCCTGAACTCTCCTGTGCTGTGTTGTTTCCTGTTCAAGTGTAGCTGTCTCATCTTCAGTATTCAATGCCATTCATCAGCCTATTGACCCTTTTCTACTATCATTAATAAAGTGTGCTCCTTGTTCACCTACCAAAATGATACATTCACCATCTCTGTAGGGTCAATGCTTGCATTCCCCCATGGAGCCAAGTGGCAAGGAGGCGGAGCTGTGAGTGCCTAAACCCTCTCATGCCCTCCCAGCCGTTGCACGCTTCCTAAATGTATACTGTTTGCATTGATACATTGTATATTTCTACCCCATGTCAGGTAGCTGCATATCGCCTATTCAGCACGTTGTGTCAGCATTCATAAACTAAATATTTTCCCAATTGCAACTCTCTCATTACAGGTCTCGGTATTCGCTTGGCTGGCGCTCACGTCAAGAGTAGGTAGACTTTTAGCTGACCAGGTCATTTCAAGATGATGTTTCATTATTATTGTTGAGTATGTAGTGGCGTGAAATTTGGGTGAAGCCGTGTTGTTACATGGTTGAGACACGCAAATCTCTATAGCGAAGATTTAATCATCCTGATGAATCCGCGCTTCTGACTGAGCGTGTGAAACTACGGATGAGGAGTTCATTAGGGGATGGTAGCTGTTGCCGCTCTTACCTGATTCTGACCGCCTTTTGCGGGCAGACATTTCGTGAAATGCGTATCGCACCGCGATCAGATTTCCCCTCATGGCTCGTCTGCTCGAACCCGCCTTCCCGCACACGTCCTCACTCACACCGTCTCGATCACCAGTGCCGCGCAGCGCCCGTTACTTTGTTTCCGTCGCAAATCGAGATTCCACCCGCCTAAACCCCCGCGCCGCTGCGCATGCGCCACGCGCTTCCGCCGAGCGAGGGGAGCGCGCGCCTTGTACTCCAACCCGCGCAGAATGTCGTCTCGGCGCATGCCTGTTGCAGCGACGTCTCGCAAAAGACCTTCGCAGCGCTGCTTTCGCAAGCCTTTCCCCCGCGCTGGCCGTTCATGCGGCAGGGCGACTCACATACCGCCCCTCTGCGGCGTCTATACGGGTCAACGCGGTCAACGCGGTTAACGCGGTCAACGCGGCCAGCGCGAGTGAGGTGGAGGCGAGAATCGCTGTGGCCGCCAACACGGGCGCGTTGGACCTTAGCGACTGCGGTACGACAGCCGTTCCCCATTTCCCCTAGTTCTCCTTAGTCTTCCGCCTCCCCGTTTTCCCCCACTTATCCGTTGGTCTTCCTCCTCCCCGTTTTCCCCCACCTTTCCGTTGGTCTTCCGCCTCCGCGTTTTCCCCACTTCCCCCTTGGTCTTCCGCCTCCGCGTTTTCCCCACTTCCCCCTTGGTCTTTCACCTCCCCGTTTCCTCGTTTCCCCCATTGTCTTCCCCCATTCCCCGAACTGCCCAGTTTCTCTCCTCGTCCCCGCCTGTGTTTCGCCTTCCCCTGATATCCATCCGCTTTGCCCCCCCTATTACTCAGCTTCTAAGCCTCGTTTTTGAGACTTCTCAAAAGTCATCCGCTTTGGCCCCTATCACTCAGTTTCTAAGCCTGATTCCCATCTCGATCCCCAACAAGGTTTCAAGTTTTGGTCCCTTTTTTATCCTCCCCTCCTCTCTTCCTCCCCTTCCCCAAAACCCCCCCTCCCTTCCCCTTCCCCTTTCCCCCTATTCCGCCTCCCCAGGCCTGACGGCCATCCCTCCAACTGTTCTTCACCTCTCAGAACTCTCCGACCTCTCTCTGGCCGGCAATCAAATCAAATCCATCCCTCCTGAGATTGCCAACCTGTCCAAAGTAAGCCTGCAGCTGCATTCCCCTTCACTTTCTCTCTCTCTGGCCGGCAATCAAGTCGAGTCGATCCTTCCTAAGATTGCCAAACTTTCCATACTACCCTTCCCCTTTCCTGCCGCTCTCCTTCCCCTCCTTCCCTTTACGCTTTCACCTTTCTTACCTCCCCCTGTTCTCCCTTTCTCCTGCACACCGCACCAGCTGCGCTGGCTGGGTCTAGCAGGCAACAGGCTGCAGCGGCTGCCGCCAGTGGTGTGAATTTGAGCTCTGGCAACAGGCTCCTTCTATACCCCATCAGCTGCGCCGTCTGGGGCTGGCAGGCAACAGCTTGCAGCGGCGCCACCACTGGTGTGAATTTGACCCTTTTTTTACCTCTCCCTTTCGCCCTTTTACCTCTCCCTTTCGCCCTTTTGCCTCCACACCCCACCAGCTGCGCCGGCTGGGTCTAGCAGGCAACAGGCTGCAGCGGCTGCCACCTGAAATCGGCCATCTGACGCAGCTGGAGGGGCTGTGGCTTCACGGGAACCTGCTTCACGAGCTCCCAGACGAGGTGCCTTATAGCGGGTACAGCACTGTGTGCCGTTAACGAGTATAGAAGAGTGTGCCTTGTAGTGGATACAGGACAGTGCGCCTTATAGCGAGTACATCAGTGTGTGAGTTGAGTCCTACAGTCATCTCTCCTTCTTGCAATTGCCAGGAGCCAGCTTCAGAGCCTCATTCTGCCCCTGCCTTCCCACACTCACTCCCCTTCCCTTCTCTCTCTCCTCCTTGACTCCACGCTCACCTTCCTCCTCTCCTCCTTCAGATCGGCCACCTCACAGCGCTGCGCTTCCTGGCTCTCGCAGGCAACCAGTTGACGCGGTTACCACACACGCTGGGCAGGTTGACGGCACTGCAGGTGCTGTCCGTCGCTGGTAACCAGCTCGAAGAGTTACCACAAAGTATGTCCTCGTTTTCCTCTGTGCCCATTGTGGCATCACTGAAAGGCCCCTTACGTTTGGCTTCGCATGCGCTTTCACTTCATCTTCCTTTCCATCTATTTTTTCCATTCATTCTTCTTCCTCAAAAAGGTCAATTTTTTTCCAGAAAATCTCCACTTTTCAAGCTCCCATCCTCCGTCCCCGCCTCTCCCCCCAGGCATCGGGTCGCTCGCCTCTCTAAGGGTCCTAGCTGCCTACGGCAACGCTCTCACAGCCCTACCACCCTCCATCACCCACCTCTCCTCCCTTCAGGAGCTCTTTCTTCAAGTGAGCGCTCAGGTGTAACCTCAGGTGTGCTTTCAGGTGTGGCTTCAGGTGGTTGGTCTCTGCTCAGGTGTCTCCCACCTCTTCCCTCCCTTCATGTCACTTCACTCTCTATATTGCCCTTGCCCTCTCCTCCCATGCCATCTGTACCTCCATCCCGCCTCACTCTTTCTTCCCCTTTTTTCGTCTCCCTCCCTTCTCCCCGTGCCCAGGGCAACCGCATATCCTCCCTCCCTCCGCTCTCTCTGCGCTCCCTCCGCCAACTCTCACTTGCCGACAACTGCCTGTCAGCCATCCCACAAGGCACGCTAGCACAGCTGCCCTTTCTTGAATCTCTCTGGCTGTGAGTACCTCTCCGTACTGCTCTTTACCTCACTGTGATGTTCGGTACCATTCAGTGCCCCTCTCTATCTCGCTTCATAGTAGTACCGTTCTGTATCACATAGCGTGGCGGCTCGATTTGCTGCTTTCCACCTGTATTGTGAGTGTGGCAGTCTGGCAACAGCATCCCGTCGCATAGTAAATTATTTGCCACCTGTGTTTTCTCTTGCTTTTTTCCGCGTCAAGCCATCCCCTATTCAATCTACAACAAGAAAACTTGCCTTTTTCCGTGTTATCCCCTTATATCCCCACAACGTCCATTAGCTACGGCAATTCTATCGCTCACCTGCCACCAGACCTAGCAGACTGCTCTCGCCTTGCCAACCTCTGGCTCGAGGTACGGCCTCTTAGAAATGGAACACTTATGATCTTGTGGACTGTTTTCTCGGGGTAGTGATCCAATCATTGTTTTTTTTATACATGTCACGATACCATGCGATGCGCACTCAACTGCTGATGCAACTGCACAGATTGTCCTTTCCAGTTCGGTTTCAATACTTGGATCTTTCCCACTGTCCGTCTTCGAATCACACCTCTGCATCCCCTCTTCTTCCCACCCTCTTCTTGCAGGGCAATCCTCTCTCGCTCTCCCACACCAGTCTCTCCGACACCTTTCATCGAATCAAGACTGTGGGGGTAGACTCGCAGCAGCTGGTACCATCACAGGGCATGCAGCCACCTCTTCCAAGCAACGTGCTTGTCAGCCGGCTGGCAGGGACTGGGGCAGCGCAACGAGACGGTGGCTATTTCAAGGTTAGTGTGTGGAAAGAGGGGTCCTGATTTGTGCTGAAACGAGCAGCTGCTAGGCTAGAAGGCTGTACAGCCATGTCAACGTGTGGAAGAAAAATTGCTTTCCCGGTCTGTACCACTCAATCACTACCGTTAGCCCTAGATTATCTTTTTCCCTGACCCCTCTATTTTTTTCACCCGCTCAGGTGCAGCCATGGCAGCACGTAAATTCTGCGTCAGAGGCAGAGGGCCACCGCTCTGAAGTGCTGGTTGTGGCCTTTGGCAGCGCTCCAGCCGTGCCCAACTGGTGAGCTAGACCCTATTTTCCCCTCTCAAAATTCAGTTAGCAAGCGAGTGTTTTTCAAAATGTGGCAATGCGGCAGCAGAGATGGATTTGGCAGCATTGGTAGTGAGATTCAGGTGACTCTTGATTGGACTGTGTTGCATCTGTGTCAGGGCGGGGCTGCTGCGCAAGGTGAAGGGAGACATGGGTCTCACAGCAGCCATGGGAGGAACCACCACACCCTTTGACACACTCTACGTCGTCGATTCCACCCGCTCCTGGTACACGCATGCTCCCCTCTCCACACTCACATCAGCAGCAAGCAATGCGAACCTGGCGCCACCTCCTATGCTCTCTCATGTCGGTGCCTTCTCCATGAACCAAGGTCTACATCCATCAGTTTCAACTACCCCAGCTACATGGCCTTCAGTATCAGTGCAGTCCCCGGTTGCATCCAACACATCAGTTGATTCATCACAAGTTGGTCCTAGTGCTTGTGGCTACACAGATGGGGCATACTACCGGAGGGAGATTGCAGCAGCAGTGGAGGGATATGACCGTGTGGTCATGATTGGAGATTCCATGGGTGCCTCGGCTGCCCTCATGTTTTCGGAATTCGGATCGACTGTTCTCGCGTTTTGTCCGCAGGTTAGTTTGCTCCTCTGCAAGTTTTGGGTTTTCCAGCCTCGTTGTGTTTTTGCGGGACACAAGCTTACTAGAGCCGTGTTTCTGGTGACTTGCAGGTGGACCTTATCTCAGCCAGTATTCGGCCTGGTCGTGACTCAGCTTGGCTCAGCTCGTTCACACAGAACCTCCTCTCCTCAATGGCAGAACCTGCTGCTTCAAAACCAAGGATACCTGGACAAGTGTCCCCTCACGTTCATGTACATTGTGGGAATTGGTCTCATGATGTTGCGCAGGCTCGACTGGTTGAGCACCTGCCTCAGGTGAGAGCTTGAATGGAGCATGCTTTGTTTCGGGCCTGGTTTAATCACTGTCAGCAGCAGCAATGCTGACACAGCACAAAACATGGTGCTAGGAGCATTTTTGTGCAGATTTATCTCAACACCTGTTGTGGATGTGGCAGGTTGAAGTGACAGTTCACCCCGTTGACAGCCACCGCCTAGCAAAAGACTTGGATACTAATGGGAGGCTAGTTCCACTGGTTAAAGCAGCACTCAACTGACACGAGTACATTTCAAGCCTGCTTATGAATCATGTCCGATGTCTGATTGATATATGGAGTGTTGCATGCTCCTACCATACCATCAACTGTTAATGGTACAACAGTTGCTCACTACCTTACCGTAACTGCACGTTGAAGGAAAAATCTTGGATGATCTTCTTGCACTGCTCCATGTCAACGTCTCCAAGGTCCAACCCTTCTCGTGCTTCTTTCTTCAACTGCTGCAATGTTTCTTCTGCAACCTCTCGGCCTACCAGGACATACTCTTCCTCTGAAACAATCTCCACCAAAATGTTGCTGGGCCCAGCACCGCTGCTAGTTGCCATTTGGGTGTTGCTCTCTTCTGGAATTGCCAAAAGCGCCAGCATGGACTCAATGTTGTCTGTATCCTCGTTTCCTGATAACAGCAGGCTGGGGCATTGCTCACTTGCCACCGGGCTGGTATTTTCGTCTGGATCAATGTGTGATGGCCCAACTTCTTGAACACAGACAAGCTGTTTCCCTGCGAGGCCATGTGGGCTCTCCTTTGGTGAAGCTGGTCGAGATATAACCTGCGACGGCCTTTCACAGGATGGCAAGAGGAGCTTCCTTCTGGATGGTGGCTCGGGCTCCAGTATACGAGCAGTATCGTTGCCAGTAACGGGTGCATCGACAGCGGTGACTTTCCCATTCATTAGTGGCGTATTGATTGGAGTAGTGCCACATCCAGGTGAAAAGCCTTGTGTGATCAAGTGCATCGAGGATGAGACGAGTGTCAAGACACGTGCTGGTCCCAAATCCGTGAAGTTCATGCTTCCAACCTGTGAAATGTTGATTTCGGTAGGGCCAGATACAGATGAGGGTTCATGTTCCAGCAGCATGACCATTGAATTTGCCTGTTGTTCCACCCCAGAAGCATTTTGTCGGTCATTTGGAGGATAGTGTGCGACCTTGCTTGGTCTGCTTTGACCAAGAGTTCCTGCATAATACGTTCACAAGGACATGAAGTAAACCTCAAGGTGGACGGGATAGTGAAATTGCAAACGTTACCTTCCGCAGTCCAGTCCTTGCCAAAGTCTTCCAAGTCTGAGAATCTACCATTGAATCTTCCACTTCCTCGCACATGCAAAGTTGGTGTTTCTCGCTTGCTGTTTGGTTCGTTGGATAATCGAAGCTCTGTGGAAACGCATGACAACCTCAGCTCATGATTGCTGGCTCTGTTGTCATAAGCCTTCCCTTCGAGACTTCTGCATCCACCTGACTCGGTGTACCGCACACTAGGGGGTGCTTGCTTTGAGGATCTGCACATGTGAAGTTCAGAGCTGTTCCTGTCCCTCAGCACACGATCTGGCAACAGCGCATGGTTTGAATCTCTGTCCCAATTCGCAAGAAGTGCTTGGAGCTGAGAGTCTTGTGATGAATAAAGGCTTGAAATGTTGCTAAACCGTATGTCAGGAACTTCATCTGCTTCTGATTCACATTCCATATTTGCACGTGTAGCAGGCGGTGACAGGGATTGTCCGATCCCAAACACAGGTTCTTCGGAAGCCTCGGGATAGACAGCACCTGAGACTATGTGTTCTTAGCCATGAATATGAGAGCTTCGGCACATAAGAAGAGAAGAAGCGGTTAACGAGACCATCATTACCTTGCAATGAGTTTCCAGAAAATGTCGAATGCCCGCAAATGCTGCTGTCAGAGCAATCTTTTTTATAGGTATGGAGCAGTTTGAGGGATGATTCAGTCAGAGCTCTCTTGGGATTAACTTCATTTTCAATATGCAACCCAGATGAACGTCTTCGTTTTGGTGATTCAAAGCTGGAAATTTCAGAGGATTTCGTCCCTTTTGGAGGAACAGATTTAGGCATTGCGAGGCGACGCTGGACATCATGCTCAGAGAGCGAAGCATGACTTGTAGCCACATTTCGAGATGTTGGTGACACCCCTCCTACCAGCTGGAGAAAAGATCCGTGACGTGCAATATTAGAGTTTGAGTAACTTCCGTTCAAGTCCTTACTTGGGGAGCTGATGCACACATTTGTCGGAAGCCCACTAGTTGAGAACGTTCTACCTAACTTGGGAAGGTCCGACGACCCCATTGTAGAACACGTTACACAAATGCTCTGATTCAAGTCTCTGTGAAATTGGCTTGAGAACGAGGGCTTCTCGGTTGAACACTGACGATTATCTGCTCCACATTGCGCGAGGAGCGGAGGGGGCTCACTCGCAGTGTGGTGAATTTGAGTCGGTGGGGCGTTTTAGTCAGAGGCTTGAAAACAGTAACGGGTACAAGTGGATACAAACACTGCAAAACTAGTACACCACTTATATAGTTTAGTTTTCTAGCTGGTTAAAACGATGACTCGTTTTCAGATCTGGGATGTACCCCACACCGCACCCTCATTCTGGAAGGAAAATTCGCCGTAAACGTCATAGATATAATCCAGTCTTGCAGCATTTAGTAAAGGACCATCTCAAAAGGAACAAACAAGGCACGAAAAGATTGTGGGTGATGCAATTGGGATACCAGGACAGGACGTTGTTGTATCTTCTTTCTGACAGTGATGTGATGATGTTCATATAAACCAATGTTGATTACCGGTGTTTGTAGTTGTGAAATTGGAGGGATCACATCACAATAACCGTGTTGGTCTGTAAGAGCATTCACCAAACCCATACAAGACACATTTTAGTCCATGATACTAGCCTAGAGACAACCAGTCGTGACAACAGCAGCAGCAGAAGCTCCTGCAGTCAGAAGTGCATGCAACAGTCCCCAGCTCGAGGCCTGCCCAGCATTCAACATGGCGCAGGGGAACTAAACTACTCACTTCCCACTATCCAGTCTACAAGCTACGATGTGCCATGGATCCTCAAGTAACAGTCAGCCCAAAATAGCATGACTCTTTGGGAAGAGCAAGCAGCTTCAAGCAGCAGGGGGGGTCTTGCCATCAGCCTCTGACACAGGCACATACTTGCCCTCAATAAAGCCCTTGTCGTTGATGGAACTCACAAACTTGAGCTCAACCTGCATACCGCATAGGAGCAGCACACATAAGGTGGATACATCAGCAACACAACAAACAACTTGATAGAAGAAGCATTGCCATTGTAATCGAAACCACTGTCCATGGCCAAAACCCAAGGTGCAAATAGAAACCTCAAACCCTGAACCCCAAATCCCAATCCATGTCACAAGTCAAAAGTCTCACCTCCTCAGGCTTGTTCTCCTCCGCCTCGGCCTTCTTCTCCTGGAGCTCCTCAGCGGCCAGAGGGGTGAACTGCGCATCCAGCGACCGTGCAGCCGCCAGCCACGCCACCACAATACCCAGCAGGATAGCACCCAGGTACGGCGTCGAGTTGGCCAGCGACCCAAACGCGAAGATCAGGAACTGCTGAATCAGAGCGCCACCGGACTTGCCCAGAGGGTTGCACACCACGTCAATGGCAGCCTTGCCCTTCACCTTGGTCTCCTCGTCCAGAGGGATATACGCCATCTCCTTGCACGGATCAAACAGGGAATACTTGGCGCTCTTGCTGAAGATGTTCTGCGCTGCACCGACGTACACCGCGGCCAGCAGAGGCGTCATGCCGATGCTCGCGAGCGCGGGCGTGAGAGGGCCGCCGCAGAGCACGAGGCCGAAGAAGGCGACGCCAGTGAGGAGGAGCACGGTGGGCGTGATGAGCGCGGCGGTGCCCCAGCCGTACTTGCGGAAGATGACGCGCGAGAGGAGCATCATGGCGAAGGTGACAATGCCCGTCATGGACGAGAAGTCGCCCATGAACGACGAGTAGTCGTTGGGGTTCGGGAACTGCACAGGGAAAAGGAGCAGATTTATTAGCGACGGTTAATGTAAACCCCACAACTTCCAGATAGTGGCTTCGTTTGAAGAAGAAGCAAAGGTGAGCGTTTGAAAACGAAATTGAAGGTTAGAATCCCCAGCAGTGCTCGCTTTTTCAAAAGGGCGCGCTTTCTGGTGGCTCTTATCAAGTCAATTTACACATTGTTAAACGCACCGCAAGTCAACGCAGGTCAACCGGAGTCAAGTCCTCACCTGGGCCTTGATCTTGCTCTTCCAGGTGACTTCGACGAGATTAATGGAAATTCCGTACGCCACGACGAGCATCGCGAGGTCGCGCACGTAGCGAGAGCTGAGCAGGAACTTCATCGACTCGCCCATGCTCATCTTCGGCTTCGACTTCTGTTACAAGCAGCGTTCGGTACAAGCACATAGAGGAGAGACAAACAAGGGACCGCAAGCATGTGAGAAGCGGAGAGTGAAGACGTGGAACACATCGGATCAGCTCCGGAAATCAATGTTGGCTCTCAGTGAAATTACACACACGCCGTCAACAATCACAACCCAGTTTCCCTTATCCGCATTCCATCCAACGCATCTTTCAATCTTCCCACCCACTCTCACAATCCCCCAGTCCAGTCCCCCAGGGCGCACCTTCTTCTTGCCGGTGCCCTTGGGCAGCGAGGGGTCGTTGACGACGTTGCGGTCGACCCACCAGTACACGCCGCAGATGACGAGCCCGAACGCCACCACGATCGACATCATGCCCTGCAGCGAGATGCCCCACCCGTCCACGCCGGGCGGCAGCTGCCCGCGCAGTGCAGAGAAGTACTTGACGGTGCGGCCGGAGAAGATGAGCGCCACGTTGGCGCCGAGACCGAACAGCGGGTAGAACTGCTTCGCCTCATCGACAGTGCAGATCTGCAATGTCATTACAATTGACATAAACAATTAAACTCGTTAAGAAGACAGGGTCGGAAAAAAAAAACGATGATCACAAAAGACCAATTGTTAACTTAAATTCCAGAAAATGGCGCCCAGTTAACACATAGAAGTTGCATACCTGGTTGGCGAAGCCCCAGAAGAGGACGGAGACGACGACGCTGCCCCAGAGCTCAGCCATGACGTAGAAGAGGCAGAAGGACCAGTTGCGCAGAATGGAGATCGGACCCATGAACCGCGGGCCCATCACCGAGAGCAGATGCTCCGCGAACGCCGTCGGATGCAGCACGTGGCGCAGCGGGTAGATCACGAACGCGAAGCTTCCAAAGAAGGCGAGGAAGGGAATGATGCACGTGTAAAAGAGCGCTTGCTTGCTCAACACGTTCGCCATCTGGCCGTACAGCAGCATGAAGCCGATCGCCATGGGCAGATTCACCCATGTCTTCAGAAACGGAATGATCTCGGCACCGCTTCCGGGCGCCGTCACAACGAGCACATCCTTGGTGTCACGGAGAATGGTGTAGTTAAAAAGGATGCAGAAGAAGATGATACCGAGGGGGATGATCTTCTTCAATGTGATCACCTCCACGCCCAGGATCTTGGAAGGAGCTTTCGCGATCGATCCGGCAGGCTCGCCGGAATCAGCGGCGGCAGCAGCGGCGTTCGCGCGGACGGAAAGTGACCGGCGGGAGTGGTGCCTCCGCCTCGGGGTCTCCGCGACGAGGGACGACACATCAGCTTTGAAGCTGCTGGAGGAAATCACGCGATCCTGAGAGCGCCGCTGAGAAGTGGCCTTGGCGGACGAGGCGATCGGAGCCAAATGAGCGGAAGTTGACGACAGGGTTACCCGCTTCTTGCAACTTGCAGCGGCGAGGCCTGCGGCAGGAGCCGTAAGGCCAATGCTGGCCACAGCCTCCATGGCGGCGAAGGGAGATCAGTAGGAGTTTAGTTAAAGGCTGAAGATGCGTTGGCAGTGGAGACAATCGCAGAAGAGCCCAAGAATAAGAAAGATGCGAAATTAATCCGAGAATCAGCCTCTGCTGAATGAGAAATGTAAGAGATGCTGAAAAGTTTATGGCTTACGGCGCCAGCAAGGCAGGGACTGCTAAAATGTGGAGGGAGAGCGGAACGTGGGAACACAGAGAGGATTGGGAAGGGGAGGGGTGAGGGGATTGGGCTGGATGGAGGCGAGTCGCGCCGCAGAGCCTGAAGGGGCCCTTTGCGTGTGAAATGCGATGGAACCAGGCAATGCAATTTCGAGATTCCACGTGTCGGTCACTGTTTCAGGACTTGGAATCTGAGCTGGACGTTTGGCGGGGTTCTGCCTGGATCCCAGACCAAAGTCCCTGCCCATAGGAGCAGCAGAAACGCCTAGGAACTGGGTTCGGCGCCAGATTGGCTGCCGTGAGAGGCTCGGCCTGCCCCTCTGGATTTTTATTCGAGGAGGAAATTGCAAGTGACGTCGATCTGGCTGCTCCGCTGGGCGATTGGAGGATGGCTTTGACCTGGCAATGTCGAATGTGGAGGCTAAGAGGACGTGGAAGCCACGGTGTAAAGCTCGAAAGTTTCTCCAACTCGGCGCAGACATTCTCAAAGCTGACTGGTAGGCCCGCGCGATCTGAAATGTTGCGTCATCACATAGGCTGGCCGCTTTCTCCTGGGTCGAATGTTGCGCATTTATCCGACACGTGTCAGATCGGAGGAGGCTGGGACCACCGCAGAGGGTGCGCCGTTCTGTTTCTCAAAAGCTTAATCAACCGCTCTACTATTTCAAACACCGAAAACGGACAATTAGGACAAAGGCTAATATTCGCCACGGATTGTTAATGCAAAACACGGCGAGTACACTTGTCGGGTGCAGCTACGTTACTGAGCTTTTGTATACTGAAAAAGCAAGCTGACACGTCATGTTCGAGTGTGTGCTCGTGGCATGACCAGCTTCACCAGCACTCATTGGCTGCAGAAAACATAGCTGGGCTAGCATCAAGCCCTCCAGGTCCCGGATCTGTCATAGTTGATGAGACAATATCAATATTTTTCCTTGATTTCACCATTTTTGCAGAGCAGTCGCTCAGTGGAGTTTACTTCATCAGCTTTGGTTTCATGATTTTGTGACATGAAGACTCGTGGCTGAATCCGGAGATTAGATAGAGAGTTCATTAGTCAGCGTTCAGTCGTCATGACGACGAACCATTTGAACGAAGAAGAGCCGACGGCGACCGCACGAGCGGCTCAGACTCCACCAGGCATCACCAGGCCCCAGCCGACCCCTGTACATAGAAGCGGCACGACCGCTTTTCTTTTGCAACGCAGGCACTCGATGCTGTATGGGACACGGTTTTTACATGCTCAAGAACCAGGTCTAACGAAGGTGTCTCCGTTTCCTACCCAAATTTTGTTTGCTTTCATTGATTCAGCCAGGCGGCTGAACAGCGTTCATTGTCATACCCCTCTCAGCTGGACCGCTGGCATCACGTCGCATGTCAGAACCACCTTGGCATTACAGGTGCCATCTCAGCAGTCCATAAGAAGGTTAGAGGTTACACGGCCAAGAGTGCTACGAGGCTACCCTTATCCGGGACCGGCATCAGCTGCTGCTTATAGCGGATCAGGACGAGCCACAGGCAAATCAGCAGCTTCTGAAACACATGCTTCCAGCACAGCGTCTCTTGCTTTTTTGAGTCTGCGTAATTCGTTTCTCAAGCCGACAGCTATTCAAGAGAGCAGATATCGCAGCAGCAAGGGCAGCAGCATTAGCGGGTTGAGGAACTTCAGTAGTACCAGCTTCAGCAACAGCAACGGCAGTGGTGTCTCCAGTGTTGGGGAGAGTGTGAGCGGAAGCGGGAAGAGGTGGTTAGCTTCTGACCGCTTCAAGCTGTCAAACAGGAGGCCCAGGTCTTTCCCGTGGGTGCTAACAGCAGCAGTTGCTACAGCAATATTGGCGTCTGCGCTTTCGAGCCGTCCTGAGCAGGGACACTTCCCTGGCTCTTCCTCCGTTCCTGAACACTCATCCGAGAAAGGGTTCTCCCTCCCTGTCCCCGATTCAGTCAGAACCGTTAGCACTAGAGCTATTGATTCCGCCAAGAGATTGAGGGACCATGTTGTAAATAGCGCTTCTCAGTCAGCCTCTGCAGCTGCCGAAGCTGGTGCTCAGGCTCGGGATGCTGCCGTGGCAACAGCAGCTCTGGCTCGATGCTTAGCTGCCATCCTCTCCTCCGACTCGCTTCCTGATTTGAATGTGTGGGAGCTCCGTGATTATAACGAAAGGCGGAATGCACAGGAAACAAGGAGCCCTGACTTGAGGCGATACAGGTCTGCTCCTAGGCCCTCTCCCCTCCCCCCGTCTCTTGACGGTGCTCCGTGGGTTGCACGCGTGGCAAGGACCATTGCTGATCTGGCAGCGGCAGGCGGCAGCACCAGCAGGGCAGCGATTGCTGACGCAAGCAAAGGGAAGGTGCTTGATTGGTTGCTGGAAGGGCTTGTGAACTGTGATACTCGAGTGAGGAGGGAGGCGGCTCGGGCAATTGCTAGCTTGTTGAGAGATGCTGACGTGGCACCGAGAGTGCTGAATAGAGATGGCAGCATTCAGCGAATTTTGACATGGATAGCACCATTGGATTCTGCGGCTAGTGTAGAGGCGGGGAGAAGCTCATATGCCAGTCCTGGTGTTTCCAGTAGGGAGCGTACAGGTGATGATTCAGGTGCTGGTGATGGCTCAGGTGCTGGCAACAGTGCATCGGGTGGTGATAACTTAACACCGAAGCCTTCCTCTGCTCGCTTGTCAAGTGCACTCCTGCGCTATCACCCCCTCATAGACGCACTCATGGACCTTCTCACTGAACCACCCCCCCTAAATCAACATTCGATACAGTCACGCCGCCCAGCTTCACTGTTAAGGCCCGCCATTGAGCCGCTGGGAGGGCCTGACCTGGCTGAACGGGCAGCTGAGGTGGATGTGCGGGCGGCCTTGGATGTGCTTACATGGGGGGAGCCTGTAGAAAGGGAGGAGAGCAGTGGTTGGTGGGCGTGGGGAGGGAGGAGGGGAAGAGAAAGGGGGAAAGGGAGAAGAGAGCGAGGAGGAGGAGAGGGAGGCAGGGGAGGGGAGGATGGGGGATCAGGGGGGATGGGTATTGGACTTGGGGGTCATGCTGGCACAACCATATGGGGAGTCATGATCGATGCAGCCAATGAGACCATGCCACGTGTCTGTGCTCCAGAGGCTGGCGTGCTTGCTTACAGGACCAGAAGTGTTGCTGATGAAGGATTTCTTTTTGAGAGGACCAGGATTAACTCGTTTGACCAGGCCAGACTTCCAGGAACTGGGCAGGGTGGGCAGGGAAGGAAATGGGATGATGCTTTTCCAACTCCTGGGCTATGGGACGATCTGCCAGGCCAGTCAGTAGCTGCCTTGCTGGCAGCATGGGCAGTTGACAAGTGGACTGCCACGTCAGCATTTAATTGCCAGCTCATCGCCAGGATGGACAAAGAGGGAGATGCTCTGGCCGTTGGCGCAATGGCGCCTGAACAAATGGTGAGGTTCCACGTGGCACGCGCGATTGGGAGGGTTGCAAGGGAGCAGGAGATGTGCTTATTTGGAGGGAAAGGCGATGAGAACGATGAGAAGGGCGACGGTGTGTTAAGCAGGGTGGGCGCACGAGTGGCAGGGTGGAGGGATGCTGTGGTGGTGGGGTCTCAGAAAATCGTGGGTGGAGGGAGGGAGATGGAGGAGAGGTCAGGAAGTGAAGGTGGGACGATGGAACAAGGGAGAACCAAGGGAGAAGGAATGGCAGCTGGGGCGGGAGGAAAAGGGCCAGGAGGAACAGGGGCAGCAGCAGCAAGTCTGTTTGTGAGGCCAGCAGCCATACGCAGCTGGTCTGGCGCGTTGCTCAACTCAGCAAGCCCTCCTTCATCTGCCTTTCAGCAACGAAGCACTGATGTCATGGTTGCCGCGCTGCATGCCCTGCGCACACTTGCAGACGTCAGCGATGATGTGGCCCGCATCAGCGATGACGTGGCCCGCATCAGCGATGACGTGGCCCGCATCAGTGATGTTGTGGCCCACGTGAGAAGTGATGTCAGCAGGGCTGAGCCTTCTCTGCGAGAGGGGATTGCAATGGAGGCATTGCCACAGCTAAGGCGTGTACTGGCTTCTTTCACTACTGCTGCCACGCATGCTACCTCCGCCTCTGGCTCTGCTCCGGCCTCTGCCTCTGCCTCTTCCTCTGTCCCTGGTGTTCCCACCAAGAGGCGTGACTCTGACGTGCCGTCTGCACAAGCTGCTCCCCCAGGGGGTGTGCGAGCAGGGAAGAGTAAGGAGAGGAGGGGAACTGAGGGGGGCAGTGGTGTGGAGGAATGGGAGGAGGCCGAGGAAGAGGAGGTGGTGAATCTGGCTGTAGCGCAGGCTGTAGCATCGCTTGTGCTGGGCCGGCGAGTGTATGAGGCGGCGGCCGTGGGAAGGCTGATAGGGGCAGCAGGAGGCTCGTTGGTAGCGGCAGGAGTGCCAGTACCAGTAGCGTCGCCAGCAGCAGCAGAAGCGAAAAATGCAGCAGCAGTAGCAGAAACAGCAGCAGCAACGCCAGCAGCCCCGCCAACAGCAGCGCTATCAGCCCTGTCACCAGCCCAGCTCCGCTCCACACCATCACTCCCAGCAGTGGTGATGCCTGCGGATGAGTTGAGGGCGTGGGGCCCGGTGCTGGTGAGATGGGCGTGTGGGGTGATGGGTGGTGGAGGGGAATCAAACGCAGGAGCAGGAAAAATTGGAGAAAGAGGAGTGGAAGAAAAGGGAGGAGCAGGGGGAGATAAAGGAGGAGCAGCAGCAGCAGGAGAGAGAGGTGCAGGAGGTGCAGAAGCAGCAGGGTTGCTAGGCAAAAGAAGAGGGCCGGCTAGGAGCTTCTTGGAGTCGAATTTGGTGCCCTCTGCTGCCGTTGCTGCGACTGCAGCAGCTGGACAGGCTGTTCTCGTGGAGGTGCTATCTGCTGCTGTTCACATGGCACATGATGTCTCTTTCTCTTCGCATTCTTCTGCTGCTGCTATGGATGCGCATGGGGCTGATGTGGCATCGGGGGGAAAGGACAGGGGGGAGAAGTTGGAGCGAGGAATGGTAGTTGTAGAGAAGGAGAAAGAGAAAGGCCTGAGAGGGACGGCAGGGCGGAGGAACAGGCGGGTGGGGAGAAGAGCTGAAATAGTAGGGGGGCAGGCTGATGGAGCAGTGGAAGGGAGGCAGGCAGGAGTGGATGCAGAACAGGGGAAAGTGGAAAGGTACGAAGCTGGTAAGGAAATGACAGATGTGGCGGTGGGAGTAGGCCTGCTGTGGCTCTCTGAAATGCTCATGTGTGCTGTCCGGGATGGGGAGGCAGCGAGGCTGGCAGTGAAAACTGGACGGGCGGGAGGGGGCTCAGGGGAAGTAGGGGGTGTGGGCAGGAAGGGAGAGGCAAGGAGGCAGGGAGTAAGCACGGAGAGTGTGGGGATGACAGTAGCGACTATGAAGTACCTTGAGTCGTTGTGGAGAGGAGGGAAGGGAGCAGAGGCGGGAGGGTCTTCAGCCTCACCTGCAGATCAGCCCGGTAGGGTTCATCCTGCTGGGAAAGCTCCAGAAAGCCAAGCATTGCTGGGGGAAGTGGCAGCATCTAACAAGGGTTTGCATGGGGGGACAGCTGGGGCGAGTGCAAGTGGGAGTGCAGGAGACAAGTCATGGTGGTCATATGTGAACCCGTGGAGTGGCTCGGGCGTGGCTGGGGCAGGGGGACAGGCAGCGGGGGCAGGCACAGGGCAGGCCCCGGGGGGGCGGGGAGAGCAGAGGAGTGGGGCAGTGAGCGGGACGGTGACTGGAGAGGTGAGAGGGGAGGTGAGAGGTGCACTGGGAGGGGCGTTGAGTGAGAAGCACCGCGCTGTGAGGGACGAGGCTCTCAGGTCCGCCAGCACTGCTGTTGTTCGCCTGGGGGAGGCGCTTGGGAGCGAGGCGTGGGGATGGGGGAAAGCGGGTGGTGGAAGGGGCGGAGTGGGGGAAAGGAAGAGCGGAACGGGTCAAGTGAATGGCGGTTTGGGGTCTGGGAAGGGGGAAGGCAGCAGAGTGCGTTCAGAGGGGCGAGAGGTAGAGGGGTCAGTGCGAGTAGGTGTGGAGAAAGGGGGTTTGGGAGAAACGGGAGGAGAGGACTCTGTACCGGTAGTAATCGATGCAGGTGAGGCCAGCAGCAGATCCAGCCAAGCTGCTGCTGCTGCTGGTGCTCCTGCTGTTTCTGGTGCTACTGGAAGAAAGGATGCTGATGCTACAGTGAATGTTACTGTAGATGAGCTGGTTAAAGTGGTGGAAGAGGAGCACGAGCATTTAATGGATCTGCTGGGCTTTGAAGGAGGGTTGTACTCTACGCGGTCAGGGCTGGTAGCTACTAACGAGGATAAACCTTCAGCCAGTGATGAGCCTCCACGTGTGAATGTTGTGGAGGCTCTGGATGCGGCTGCAGCTGCGGTGAAAGCGCTTGCTGAGCTGGCGAGCGAGGATTGGGAGATGCAGGAGCAGCTGGTGGCAGGTGGAGGGGTGGAGCTGATGCGGCGGCTGCTAATTGGTAGGGAGTACTGGGAGTGGGTGAGAGGGGAAGGGGAGGTAAGGTGTGGGGATGAGAATGGGGCTACGGGGGGTATTGATGCCGGGGAGGGTCGGAGCCAAATGGATGGCAGAAACTATCACAGCAGCAGTCGTCAGCACAGCACCGATCGAAACAAAGGCAGCAGCAATAAAAGTGCTGGTGGCGAGAGTAGCAGTGGTGCGAGTGTTGGGGGTGAGTGTGGAAAGAAGGAACTTCTGATTGGTCTCGCTGCAACTGCACCTGCCACTACAACTGTAACTGCCAAGCCAAACTCCCCCACAGGCTCCCAGCCCACCTTAAGGCCAGGCTCCCGTTCAACAACTTCTCAATCAGTCCGTGCTACGTCAGCAGCTGCGACAGCTGGAGCCACAGCAGTGGTTCCTGCTCGTACTGCAGTAGCACCTCCTGCTGATGCTGCAGGAGAGGAGGGGTTGGAAGCGGCCAGGGGTAAGCTCACAAAGCTCCAAAGGAATGCCGCCCGGCTACTGGCCCAGCTGTCAGCTCACCCGGACTCATGGGCGGCAATCGCTGGAGATCCGCTTCTTATTGGCTGGCTTGAACAGTGCACCACAGGGGGGACGCGTGAGAATGCGAGGGAGAGGAGAGGCGGAGGGAGTGAGGAAGCGAGTGAGAAAGGGAGTGAGAGAAAGAGGAAGGCGGAAGAAAGCCATAGGAGAGGAGAGCGGGATGACACGGCTCATTTGCATCGCGTGCTCCGGTCAGCACATGGCAGGAGAAGGTCCGAACAGTGGGAGCCTGACTGGGAGCAGTATGACCGTCTGCTGTGTCACGCGTGTGTGAGCAAGAAGATGCGATCCAATGCCCGCAAGGTGCTCTCACACGCCGCTCCCGCCCTGCATGCTCTGCCACGGCCTGATACTTCGCATGCTCTGCCAGGGACAGCTTCTGTTGCTGCAAGCCATACTGCCACGTCAGCCCCAGGCTGTCAGGATGAGTGTGACGTGGCGGTGCCAGGCTGGCAGAAGCCAGGGAAGCGATTCACGCCAAGGTATGACGACGGCATCTTCTTTGTCAACCCCACCAGTCCCTGGCTCCAAGCACACTCCCTCCCTTCCCCCCTCTCCTCTTGCTCCCCTTCCTCTTCCTCTTCACCTTCCTCCTCCTCCTCCTCCTCCTCCTCTGTCGCCTCCTCTGCGTCCGCCCCCGCCCGCTCCTCTGTGAGCATGCCCCCTGCGCCTCTACTGGATGTGGTGTTTGTGCACGGGCTGAGGGGCGGACCCTTCAAGTCGTGGCGCAGGGGAGAGGCAGTGCCTGCTGTAGCGCCGCCTCCTGGACCAGCTGTGGCTCCTGTTGCGAAGCTGCCTGCAGTAGGGACGCCTGTAACGGGGGCGTCTGTAGCAAAAGCGCCTGTAGTTTTGGGCCCTGTTGAGGAGCGAAGGATAGAGGGCGTGGTAGGAGAAGGGATGCGAGAGAGTGGGGTTGCGAGAGTGAGTGAGGTGGTGGGTGAGAATGAGAGAGGGGGTGAGAGTGTGGGGCAGGGTAGGGCAGGAGTAATGAGTGGGGATATTAGGAGGGAGGCTGTGAGGCGAGGTGGGGAAAGGGATGGAGGGAAGGAGGAAGGGGAGAGCGTGGGGGATACGGAGGAGGGAATACATGCCAGAGGGGAGAGCGTGGGTGAGGTGGAGCCGTCAAAGTTGTTGGAGGCGACACTGAAGGAGGAGGAAGAGGGTGGCAAGAAGGGGTCGTGCTGGCCCTGTGACTGGCTCGCTAGGGACCTGCCTGATGCGCGAATCCTCACCACCAAATACAGGGTGTGCTTTTCCTCCCTTTCTTTTCCCGGTTTCTTTTTACACGAGTCTGGAACCATGCGCTATCTTAATGTCATTGCGGATCTCAGTCCATTCATGTGTCAACCGAATGAAGAGTGCAAAGGCGCTTGAAGACGTCCCAAAGCTCGGTTTCCTCTTCTTGACCTCTCAACCCTGCCCGTTTCTGTCCCATCTCCCGTCTGCTTACGTTATGCTCTTTCCACCCTTCTTCAAACCTGTCAATCTCTTCATTCTCGTTGCAGACGAACCTATCGGAGTGGGCAGGGGCAACCCTTCCATTACAGGCAAGTGCTGTGCCTCCCACGTCGCCCGAATGATCCCTCTTCTCGTTACTTACCTCTTGTTGCGAACCGCTGCTTTCGTAGCGTGCATGATCATTCTTTCTTGTTTCTTTCCGATGGTGAGATGCCTATGGGAGCTTGATTGCCTTCGCTTGGCCCGCCTGCCCTCTGTCTCTTCCCTCCCCACCTCCTCCCGCAGGACATCAGCATTCTGCTGCTACACAAGTTGGTGCCAGCGGGAGTGGGCAGGAGGCGGGCTCTGTCTCTGAGCTATTCGAGACGTCTCAAATGTCCTGTTTTTACCCTCCCCTCCCCCCTCCTTCCCTCCTCCCCCCCGCAGGACATCAGCATTCTGCTACTGCACAAGCTGGTGGCGGCGGGGGTGGGCGAGCGGCCAGTGGTGTTTGTGACGCACAGCATGGGCGGGCTCATTGTGAAGCAGATGCTCGCTCTTGCGCGTGCCAGCGACATACCAGAGATTCGAGCCCTCGCCGACAGCACAGCAGGCATTGTGAGCGCCCATATTTCACTGTCACGTGCCTTTAGTGGGCGTATGGTTGATCTCTTGTGTTCGTGACGCACAGCATGGGCGGGTGGGCTCATAGTCAAGCAGATGCTCGCCCTCGTCCTCACCCGTCCCAGCGACATGCCAGAGATTTGAGCCTTAGTGGACAGCACAGCAGGCATTGTGAGTGGGCCTATGGCTGGCTGGTCTCTTGCGTTTGTGACGCACAGCATGGGGGGGCTCATCGTGAAGCAGACGCTCGCCCTTGCGCGTGCCAGCGACATGCCAGAGACGTGAGATGTGGCTGACAGCACAGCAGGCATCGTGAGTGCAGCTCCATGCCCGAAGAAAACTTTCCATGTATGCCTGATGCATTCCTGCTCATGGCTCATGTCTTCCCCCCACAGCTACGCTCAATTCCATTATTCCATGCCCGTTTCCCCCTTGCCCCTTGCCCCATGCAGGTATTCTATTCCGTGCCGCACTTTGGCAGCAGGATTGCAGACTACTCCTGGAGAGCCCGAGCTGTGCTGCGGCCCGCACCTTCGGTACGTCTCCTCCCTCCTCTTTGCCAACCCTTGTGAAATCAATGCAGGCGATGTGCCTTGCTTCTTGCTGTGCTGGTGCAGTTCCTGCTTCTTTTCGTGCGTTCTGCCCTCATCCATAATCCTGCCTGGCTGTGTGACTTTCTGGCTCACTGACTAAGGTCACTTCAGGTGTCATCGCCTCCCTTGCACGCTACTTTCATCACGCGACTCTTATCTACATTCAAGATTCGCTTTGCTCAAAACTCCATGTGTTTCCGAACGTGGGTGCATGCAGGCGGACTGTCTGCGCATGTCGTCGCCCCATGTGGAGGGTCTCAACACCATGCTGAGGCACATGCACAAGCAGGGCAAGATCCAAGTGCTCTCCTTTGCTGAGGTGCGCGGGTGGGGAGAGGCCATGGTGTAGTTGGGATGAAGAAGCAGGGGCTTCGCTAGTAGATTGTTCAATGAGTGTCACAATAACAAAACGGTTTTTTTGGGTGAGTAAACAGGAGGGTTTGGAGGGTTTGGAGGGTTCGGGTTCGGGTGCAATGGAAGGCATGCCTACGTGAGGGGAACTGCGAACCGTTGGATCTGATGCACTTGCCCCCCTTCCCCACCTCTCCCCTCCTTTCAAGTTTGCCGTTTGTCCGATTTTTTGGGGGCTCACCCATGACCAGACGAAGGTCACGCCTCTGGTGAAGACTTACGGTGGGCTGACGCTACGACTGGAGGTGGTTCCACTGGAGTCGGCCTACCCGGGATTCGGGGAGTTTGTGGTGAGTGAGCTGGCTGCGCTTATCAGTGGGGTACATGTTGCCCTTCAGTATGGTCCGTTTCTAGTGTCTTGGTTGCTAGCTGTTCTGCTGGCGCATGACTTTGCATGCATAACATGGTTTCACATGGTTTGTGCCATCGTCTTGTCATCGTGTAATATGCAGGTGTTGGATGGGACTGACCACATCAATGCTTGCAAGCCAGTCAACACTTCTGACCCCGCTTATGCCAATACACTACATTTCCTTCTCAAGCTTCGAGATGCCACTCAAAAGAACATGGTAGAAGAAAATAGGAGGGCGTAGGACATGTACGGTAATCTTTGGCTGGTTGTCATGGTACCATATGGTGCTATGGTTCTTGTTTTAATGTATTCTATTTTTAAATAATTAGTGCTGTGAAGATGAGGGCGACTTGGTCGACGCAGCATGCTTATCATGTCTGAGTTCCGTTGTGTGTCACTTGACTCAAACGAGGTTGACCTTATTGCACAAAGTCGAAGCTATCCGATGAAATCGGACTCTCGGTAAAATGCCATTCATAAGCAGCCTGCGCCCCCAAGATCTCGAATCAACCAAGGGCTCGCATTCACCAAAGCTGTCATCGACGGACGATTCCGAGCAAGCACAGCGGAGCGCGTACCGCGGTCTGAGAGCCTGACCAGCCGTGTGTCACGGGAAGATGGGCGCTTCGCGCGCTTCCCCTCGACCACTAACGTCCAGCTGAGAGGTTCGGTGTGCGAAAGGAGTTGCATTCTGTGTAATGTTTGACAAACCTTCCAAAAAGGGGTACCTTTTCCATGTTCCCCTTGGTACGTGACTACCCGTTTCCGACTAACTCATGTGAGTGCAGAAGAGGTTTGGTGAAGAAAACACAAGACGGCCTGTTTATATAAGTTCTCTGTGTACGAGAAAAGCATGGAGTGTAGTGAACTATCCTCGAGAGATCCGACAAAGGGTAACAGCCTACGGTATGGGTGCCGTACCTGCGTTCCAAGCCAAACCGCACTTGGCGTGTCACGGTGCAACTAACGAGCGGGAGCAAAACTCGCGCTACCCTCGTCACCTTCCACAGCTGTGCTGTACCGTTGCGTGCGGGCTCGTTTGTGCACCACCATCCAACCCACTCTCGCTCAAACACCTCTTCCACGACCACAACCACCCTGGCTTCGGAGCTGCCCTGGGACTGCACTGGTTTCAAGGGCTTGGCTTTATTTTATTCCGCCGAGCAATCACATGCCCATCGCACAATTTCGCCCACAGCTTTACTTTAGTCAGTGCCAAACGTTCGAGACTACAGCTTGTGGTCCTTAATCTGCTCAATTGATCTCTAACCAGCGTAGACGGAAGGCTCGAACCTTACGATCTTCGAAGCCATTGAAGACAGGAACTTAGAAACGCAGGTTAGCATTCGTAACCATGTCGGAACGCAGCAACGTCTCGGCCTCTGGCCCCAGAGCCAATCCTCTCTATGGCGGACCAGCTAACCCAAGCGCGGGAAACCGAACCCCTTCATGGGCGCGTAAATCCGGCGCAGGCGGTGCCCGACCGTCGTTCAGCGATGCCGCGTCTTCTCCCCCTGATTCCCCCGCGCGCTCCGCCCGCAGCAACAACGGCCCATCGTACTACGCCCCGCAATACGAGCACCCCGGTTACACCGTCGAAACGCCCGGCGTTAACGACGCTATGCTGGGACAATCCCCGTTCCGCGCGCCCCCTTACTACGTGCAGACCCCCGCACACTCCGAGCGGCCTGGATCCCCCATGTCTTCGGTCCCCGACTCCCCCGCGCACACCATGTCGTACGACATGCGCAGTGTGCGGTCTGGGAAACCAGGCTCGTCGCGCGTCTACGGCGCGCCGGCTCGCGTGGCTGCGGCGCCGCTTGCGTCGCGGATCAACGAGGAGGGCGACGAGGAGGAGCAGCTGTACGAGCCGCCTGCTAAGGAGGCGTCGGGAGGGCGGTCGAAGCGGAGCAAGCGATTCTGGACGATCTGCATTGTGGTGGGGATTCTGGCCCTCGTCCTCGCGGCCGTCGCGACGGGCATCGCGCTTTACTACGTGTTCCAGCCGGATGCTCCCACGTACACCTTCGATGTAAGTACCTTTGTTTCAATATTCCCCCGTTGTGGATCGCGAGTTCATGGGTCACGGCCCACGTTTCGTTTCGGAATCCACTTCAGGCAAGCATTGTTTGCAGTCATGCAGTGAATTCTTCGCTTATGAATCCACCTTTTCCCTCTGTTCTCCCCGTTCCCCCTGGCGACGGTTTCAGTATGCGACTCTCAACGAGTTCCAGATCGTCAACAAGCTCGCCGACGGAACCGGCTTGCCGACAGACCAGCTTTTCGCAAACGTTACTTTCGTCTTTTCTGCGATCAACCCGAACGGCAAGTACACGCTACAAGGCGACGGCGGTTTGCTGCAAGTCGGCTACAGCTCCATTCCCACGCTCATGCAAGGAGGGGTGAGTGGTTCTCAGGATCATAGATGTGCTGCTCCTAAGTCATGCCTTTCCGAGACAGATCCTCCGATTGTTTTCCAATTGCCAGGACTCCACTCCCTGTGCTTAACCACCTCTTTTCCCCTGCCTCTTTGTGCCGCCTTCAGGTCCCCTATTTCGCTCTCAGTTCTAAGAACTTCACCAACTTCACTACATCAGTGGGTGTAGCCATGTACCCGTTATACGGCGTGGGTCCGGGGCTGCGTCAGGACATCATGGCAGAGTACATCAGCATGCAACTTCATGCACAGGTGGAATCTCGCATCGAGATGGCGTGGAAGATTGTGCAAACTCATTACACGCACGTCATGGACTGCAGTGTAGCTTTCAATCCGGTCAATCTGCAGTATCTCAATGATACTTGCGTGTTCAAGAGAAAATGAGTCGGGGGTGTGGTGTCGTCAGGGAATAACTAGTAGGATGTTGCTGTGGCAGCAGTCTCTGGGGATTTTGGATAGACAATGTTGCCAAGCTCTCGGTTATTTTTGTTTAGATAGCTAGATCTGAAGTCTTATTGAACAAGAACCCTTGTTGGAACAGGGACCTGTAACTTGGGAATTAGTTCATACAATGCCGTTCAGAGCAATGGTTCACAAGAATCAAACGTTAGTGGTCATGAGGGTTGTTAGTTGTGCGAATTTTCTGTCTGACAAAGCATAATCTACCCCTTCCACTGAACAGAAACTGAATTTAGAGACCAGCCAATAATCAGTGAAATACTTTAAGCGTGCAAATATTGTTTCTGCTTAGAATAATAATACAGATGGGTGGCAGGTGAAACAGTTCTGGCGTTCGTTCCCCCCCGAGTGTTGTCACTGTGATTATCGCAGTTAACGTATAACGCGGAAAACGCAGCCACAACAGCGAGTGAGGGATTAAAAGTTCCACGCAAACTGGTTTCGTGTTTCAACATTTAAAAAATATTTGTTTTGTTTTTTCCTGCCTGCTAGAACATCCACCATAGCTCGCCATAGTTGCCAGAATGTCGGAGCCGCCAGCCAAGCGCCCGAGAGGTCGTCCGAGGAAAAACCCTCTTCCCGATAATGCGATCCCCTCGACTGGCGCTGTAGGAACGCCGTCGAGAGTACCGGCTGCGGCCGCCAGAGCGGCTGCCACTAGAGCAGCGGGAAATAGAGCAGTCGAGGAGGACGATGACGTGCAGCCACGTCAGTCCAAGCGAGCTGCCACGTCAGCTGCAGGCAGCGCGATTTACAGCGCGAGCAAGCCATTGTCGCAATGTAGGCAGTCGCTGTTTTTACTAGTTAAAGAATACATCATACCCGCGACGTTTTTTATTCTACGGCTGCTGTTTGTACCTTCCTCGCGCGTCTCCTCGCGTCACGCAATTGCAACGGCGAAGCTCTCCCTTTTGTTTTGCCCATTGTCACACGCTCTATATTGCCTTCCGCAATTTCCGTATTTCCCTCAGTCCCCGTGACCGCGTCTGTCCTTCCGCGCCCCGTGTTTCCCGCCGTGCCTGCGTGTGTTCCGCAGTGAATCCGCGAGTGCTCGTTCTTGCTCCAGATGAGGTACGCTCCTTAGAATACGACCTGCAAAAAAAAAAAAAAAAAAAAAAAAACGCGTCTTACATTCTCCTTATCGTTACGTTCGTTTAATTAAATCATAGAATTTCAAGGTCAAGCGCTCTTGTTGGCATTTGTTGATTGTACTCTAATTTCTGGATCATCTCTCCCATCGCTCCCATCCCCCCCGCTCCGCAGGACGTGGCGACGCGCATATTCCTCGAGTCGCAGGCGGGGCCGAACGTGGGCGTGTGCGTGCTGTCCGCAAACGGCTCTATTTCCAGCGCCACGCTGCGCGACCCCTCAGGCGGCGCCAACACTACCATTCACGAGGTGCAGTTCGGTGCAGAGAGGTTGAACGGGGTAGCGCCGTCGATGATGGTCCGCCGCATTTGCTCCCTGAGACCCCATAGAGCATGAATGCCACCCCCACTCTTATCCACTCTCCCCCTCATGAATGCTGCCCCGACCTTTATCTGGCCCCCAACTCCTTCCCCTCCCATCCCCCTTCCCCCTCTTCTCCCCACCCCCCCCACACTATCGACTTCTCCTGCTTCGCTCTCCTCTTATTCTCCCCTCCCACCCAGGGTCGGTTTGAGCTGCTGAACATGTCGGGCTCGTTTCTGCCGCACGACCCGGCGGACCCCGATGGGCGAATGGGCGGGCTGAGCGTGAGCCTCGTCAGCTCCAACGGCCGCGTTGTGGGTGGCGGTGTGGCCGGCCGCCTCGTTGCCGCCACACCTGTGCAGGTGAGCAGCTGGCATGATAGGGTGTGGGAGGGAATGGGGGAAGGGGGGAGGGGGGGGGGGGGGGAAAGGCGAAGTAGTGGGGAAAGAGCGACTTTTGGGTTGACTGAATGGGCGCCTTGTTGTCGTCACGACCGTGCAGGTGAGCAGCTGGTGGGGTTTGGGGGGTGTGCATGTGGAAACGAATGGGGGGAAGGAGAAGTGAGGGGGAATGCATGTGGCTGGTTGTGTGTATCTTTTCGCGTTTATTTCAGGTTGTATGAATGGGGGAGCTTGGGGGTCGGTGTGAGGGTGCATAACTGGGGGATTGTTTTACTCATTTTCTACCAAGTGCCGTATCATATCAATCCCTCTCTGCAGGTCATACTGGCCACATTTCTGCACGACCCTAGCAATCTGACCACACCTGGATCAAGGCCAGCTGGGCAGTGAAGGCAGTAGTAACGGCAGCAGTGCGGGCAGTAGTAACGGCAGCAGTGCGGGCAGTAGTAACGGCAGCAGTGCGGGCTAAGTACGGCAGCAGTGCGGGCTAAGTAACGGCAGCAGTGCGGGCAGTAGTAACGGCAGCAGTGAGGAGTAGAAAGTGAATGCATTGAGTGCAGCAGGATGGGCACCCGAAGCGCTGGAAGCAGGGCACCAGTCCTCTGCTGGGGAGAGCAACAGGCACTAACGATAAGCACGACGACAGATGAGCTATCCAAGATACAGATGCTGCTGAGCTCCAACGAGCACATTGTGCCTAACTCGTTATTCTCTAGAAGGGCATTAGGGTAACGAACACTAGGATTTGGAAGGTAACCGGGAGGGTCATCGTGAGGAGTTGGGGTGGAGGCGATCCTTGGCTTTCCTAAATTTATCCCAGTAGTGTGCTTGGTTGTTGAAGTCTTAGATTGCTGTAGACTTTGCCATGTCTATCAAAGCCATGTCAAGCAGTAAATCCGCAAACTAAAGAATCTGACGGGACTGGAGAACAAGAAGTTCTTTCATGCTTTACGTTACACCCTGGGAATACTTTTTACTTCTAGAACGAGCCCCTCCCTCTCTCAAAAGGAAAACCCAAAACAGATGGACTAGGAGTTCAGCCATCCCACCCTGGTAAAAATGCTGGCTGTGGGGTTTGAACCCACGCGTGCTGAAGCACAAGAGATCTTAAGTCTCCCCCCTTGGACCACTCGGGCAAGCCAGCTGTGTCTGAATGTGACGTGTTAAAACTTTATACTTTTTTTGTCACGGGTTCAGCCTGTCTTTTTAATTTTTAGTTCATGGAGAAGTGCCTGTAGCCCATTTGGCCTCAATTATGTGAATGTGCACTACATTCTTTAAGGTGATCTCACCCTTTACTGAGGCACTGCATCCTACGAGCAGCATACAGCCCAGATTTCGCCCTAATGTGAACACTCATTCAACCTATTGACCACCACTTATTTTCCACTCCCTTTCTCCAACAGTTCTCCCCCCTCCACCCTCCATCCTCCACCCACTCCCTCTACAATCACCAACCCTCAAACCAAAGCGACTCTTCAGACCCCTCTCTACCTTGGCCAACAGCACTCTCCTCCTCTCCCGCCACCCCAGCCCCCTTCTCCTCCTCCGTCATCCTCCCCCTCTCCCCCTGCACCTCCCCCACCCTCCTCACAAGCTCCTCTGGCGCCGGCCAATCCAGCGCTGCCACCTGTTCCCACGGCACGCCAGCAAACCACGGGTGGGCCTTGATAGCCCCAGCCCCGCCAGGGCCGCACCCGAGCCGGTCTTCAGGGCGCGGGGAGAGCAGCTGGTGAATGAGAGCGGAGGCGGCGGGGGGGAGGTGGTCGGGGAGGAAGAGTGCGTGGCGGGCGATGCGTGTGTACACTGTCAGCTCGCTGTCCCTCCACGAGCCAAAGGGACCCTCGCCGTGCAGCAGAGCGAATATGAGCACTCCCAGCGACCACCTGCGGGGTGGGGGTGGGGATGTGAGTTTTAAGTTGACTGAAAATACATATGAGCACTGGCGGACCCTGTGTGGTGGGAGACGGGGAGGGGGGGGAGCGAGGGGGAGTGCATGTGTGTGAGTGTTGAAGGAGTTTAAGCAGTGGTATGAGGAGCATGATGAGGAGGAGCACACATTGTGTGAGTGCAAGCAGCACGCGAGAATAACTCAGGGAGGGATGGGCTGCCCAGCAGGCAGGCAGCCCCCGTACCAGTCAGCAGGCACGCCATGGCCACGCCCTGCGATGACTTCCGGAGCTACGAAGTCCGGCGACCCACACATGGTGAACGTGCGCCCATCCTCCAGCCGCTTGGCGAAACGCAGATCGGGGAGCTGCAGAAAGGTGGTTGGGGGGGGGGGAGGGGGGGTGTCAGAGAAAGGACGAAGGAGAGGGAAGAAAAATATTGTGAACGTGTGCCCATCCTCCAGACTCTTGGCAAAACGCAGGTCAGGGAGCTGCAGAGAAGGGTTGCCTTGGGGGGGGGGAGGGGAGGGGAAGGGGAGCATAAGAGGGATGAGTAACGAGGAGACAGGGCGGAGAGGGCGTCCCGCACATGGTAAACGTGCGCCCATCCTCCAGACGCTTGGCAAAACGCAGGTCAGGGAGTTGCAGGGAGAGAAGGAGAAGGAAAGGGGGGGGGGGAATGGGGGAGAGCGGTAAAGCGGGGGAAGGGGATGGGCGGAATGAGGGAAAAATGACAACGCGAAAGAGGGAAGAGTGGGCGTGTTGAAAAAAGCAGCAAGTCTTGATAGCTTGAGCACGGCAACAACACACCCCACAGTCCACGCCCCGTTCCCTTTCCCTGCACCCACTTCTCTTTCCCTTGGCCCCACCCCTCTTCCCCTCGCCCCACCCACCTGCAGTTGGCCTCGAGAGTCGAGGAAGAGTGTGGAGGGTGACACGCCTCGAAACACCACTCCGTCCTGGTGGGCGCGAGGGCAGGAAGGAGAGAAACACGTAGATAAATGCTGAACCGCAACAGCAGTAGAAAAGGGTTTTTCCACACGAGCCTTTTTTTCCGAAGGGATAGGAACGTAAGATGGAAGCGGAACAAGAATCTGTGAAGTTTGTGAGCATTGGGAAGTCGTGTCATGAATTGGAAGATGCAAGTCAACGCAAGTCAAACCGGGTCAACTCACCCGGTGCATCAGCTCCATTGCAACAACAAGACCCGCCGCCACAAACCGGGCGGCATCCTCCGGCAGTGGCGGGAAAACGTCGGGCCCTGCCTGCCCGCCTGCTCCCTCCCTGCCGCCCATGATCAGCGCCAGCGGCGTGCTGAGCTGGCAGTCCAGCAGCAGACCCACAGAGGCATGGTCGGTGTACGGCGTGATGACAGGTGGCACAAACGGGTTGGCTGAGAGGGTTTCAAAGAGATTGCGCTCCCGATGGACCTGGAAGGATGTGAAAGAGAAGACATGGAGGGATGGGAGAGTGAAATGGACGGGGAGAGTAAGGGGTGGTGGGAGTGAGGGGTGGGGGGAGTGAGGGGTGGGGGAGTGAGGGATGGGGGAGTGAGGGATGGGAGAGTGAGAGAGGGGAGCTGGGTGTGTATGAAGTGACGCCTTTTCTTTTATGCCTAAACGACCGCCATCAAGGGGATTGGCGAGGGGGATTGGGAGAACGTTCTAACATCAAGCGGGAAGTGAATAGCACACCCGCTAAGGTGCAAACCTGTTTCAAAACTCCAGTGGGTCCAACCCACCCATCAAGCATACAGCATAGCCCCAGTGAGGTGAGAGAGAGGAGAGAGCGCACCTGCTTGCTTCGGCCGTGCAGCCCCACGCGCGTCTTTCCGAAGCGCCGCATGGCAAACACCCTTCCCACGTTCTGCACTCGCAGCTGCACCACCTCACTCCACTCGTTGGCTGCTAGCACGTCCTGCCACTCCTGTTGCACAGAGGGAGGGGGGGAAGGGGAGGGGCGGAGGGGTGGTGGTGTATAAGAAAGCAGCACTCGCAGCTGCACCACCTCACTCCACTCGTTGGCCGCTAGCACGTTCTGCCACTCCTGTTATCCCCGGAAGAAGGAAGGTTCAGGGGTGGACGGATGGTGAAGCGAAGGCAAGAGGGTGAGGGGAAGGATGGAGGGAGAGAGAGGGGGATCTGGAAGCAGCACGCACAGATGCACCAACTCGCCCTACTCCTTGCTGCCTTGCCTTGAGAGCAATGGGTTCTGTCAGCCCTGTGTTGAAGAAACTGCCACGGGGAAAGATGAATAACACAGAGAGGAGTAGAGCCGGTGGATGGATGAATAATGACAACACACATTCAAAGAGCAGCACACACAGCGGCTCCGCCTCACACCACCTTGCACCACTTCGTACCGCCTCACACCACTCACCACTTCAGCCGCCACGATCCCCTCCAGGATCTGTCGCATCTCATCCCCCTGCCTCTTTGCCGCCAGTGTCTCCTGAAACCGGCACCACTCTGCATCCACCCGCACCGCATCGCTCAGCGGCCCCACAGCTGCCTCAAACTTGTCTCTATCAATCGCCCAGCACTGCACCTGCCCCCTCGCCACCGCCTTCCTTGGCCCCTGCCTTCCGTCATCCTGCTGCTTCCCTTGATGCTCATTCTCCTCTACCTCCCCACCTGCCACACCTGCCGCTGTCTGTGCGTCTGCATTCGCAGGCCTCGTGCCATCATCGCCCCCATCCAACAAACACGCCTCGTTAAAATACTGCAAACCCGTCCCCGCATCACCCTCACTCTTCTTCTCCCCCTCGCCCTCCCCATCCTCCTCCTTTCCCCCATCCGCATCACCCTTCACCAGCAACCGCCCCTCCTGCACCACATACACGGTGCCCCCTTCCATCTCCAGCCCATCCCCATCGTTCAGCTCAAGCGTGAGCAGGAAGAGCGCGAGGCGCTGCAGCTGGCCGAAGGAGAGGGGGGAGAGGAAGGGCAGGGAGCGCAGGAGGCGCAGCAGGCGGGGCGGAGGGCCCATCTCTGCGGAGCCTGCCACCAGCCCCAGCGTCTGCACCTTCTGGAACAGCGCCCGCTGCAGGAACCACAACACGCCGCGTGACGCCGCCCGCACCGACGCTTCCCTCCTTGTCCCGTACCTGGAAGTTGAGGGAGGTTGTGGGGGGAAGGAGAAAGGAAGGAGTGAGAGGGTGGAAGAATCGGAGGACAGAGTTGTGAGTTGCATGACTCACCTGCAATTCTGCGGGACAAGTATAGCATAAAAACACACAATACAGACATGGCAATTCAGCAGTGCTTACATCAGTGCGAGATCCCCAAAGCTGGGCATGTGCTTGTCATTGGCAATGTAGCGATGCACCACCACTCCTAGAGGGTCCTCCTCCATCTGAAACACTCGATAACGAGGACAGGAAAGCGTGACACAACCAGGAAGAGCTCACATGAGCAGAGAGAGACAACGACTTCATATCATCTAGTCTAGACTCACGAGCAGTGCAGACCAGGTGTGGGAGGGAGAGCAAGGGAGGGAGTGAGGGATGGGAGTGGGGGAGGGAGGTATGGAATGGGGAGACGGCCCGAGCAAGCGAAACCTATCTATTTGATCGACACTGGCGGTGTGTCTGTCCGTCCGTCACCCTACCTGCTCCGTGGCCACGAGCACGTCAAAGTCCCCATGATGGCAGATGAAGAACTTGTCTCCCACGTCGCCCTGCCAGGAGGAAGGAATGGGGGAGGCGGGGCGGGGGAGGTTGTCCGCATGTGCGGAGAGAGTGAGGGCAGATACCGGGAGGTGGGCAGTGTCTTCAAAGGTAAAAAAGGGTACACGAGGAGAGTCCATAGAGTGGGAGACCCTCCTTCACGCAAATGCGTGCCTGCTAAATAACTACCTCCCCCGGCCCCACTTCCATCTTCACCAAAAGATACATGGTTTCTACACGCAGAGCAAATCCTTTTTCCACACCCTCCCTCCCATGCCATGCTCACCTGCTGGATAACGACGTCGCCCGGCCCCACGTCCATCTTCTGGAAGCACTGCAGCATCAAGTCCTGCTGCTCGTGCGACAGGCTGTGGAACAGGAAGTTTCCTCGCAACGCGTGCTCCAGCTGGTGCTGCACTCGTGGGCGGGGAGGAAGGACGTGGGCGAGGGGTGGGGAAAGGGGGCACGTGAGGAACACGTGGGGAAAAATAGTGAGGACTTGAATGATTCGAAGAAATGAAGCGTCATAAGAAAAAAGAGGGGTTGGAATCAATCGGAGGAGTGAGGGGTTGGAATGAGTGGAAACGAATAGGCGCTGATACCTCCACAAGAGCAGCCGTGGCAGCCACATCAGCGGGCGGCGACCAGTCGTCTTCAGCGGGGGGGCGGTCAAAGTCGGTGCCCTCAATGATGCGGCGCTGGAAAGCACCCAGATCCGCCAGCATGGAGCGTAGAGCTGTGGATGTTGGCAGCACCAGCGGCGGCGTGGGGGGTGGAAGCGGCACGCCTGTTGACGTGGTGCGGGCTGCCCCCTGCTGCACTGCTTCTAGGGTGCTGTCCTGCATGGGCGGAGGGAGGAGAGGCGGGAGGACGGGGCGGAGTGGGGGGGAAGTGGAGGAATACGGGGTTAGGGGGAAGAGATGGAAAGGTTTGGGAGGACAGGGACAGGGAAGATGCCTGACTTGGTGACAACGTGCTTCAGTGAGTGGATGCGCATGGAAGGGAGGCAGGGGCACATGTGGCATCAACAGAGGCAGAGGGTGCAGTGACAGATATCAAAGACAGGCAGAGCGTGCACTGACGGGCATCTCGGTGTCGATGTGAACGATGATGATGGTGATGTCGTCCGTGCGCGTCTCATACTGCAGCCACAGCCGGTACGACTCCGCCACGATCTCCTCACACGCTGCAAACGGATCGTTGTGCCGCGCCACCTGGCAAGGTTGAGGGTGAGGGTGGGGAGGGGGAAGGCGTGGAGGCAGAGAGACGCGCTTATATTACCAGCAAGCCAAAGCCTACGAAACTTGCAGGTGCACGCGCTGCACTCATAACCACCAGTTTTTTAGCCGATGCAATCATCCAGTGCACCATGCTGTTCCCCACGTCATGCCCCATCCACACACATCATGTTTCTTGCCGTGTGTGCCATGATCCATGCTCCATGCTCTATGCTCCGTCCTCCATGCTTCACGACCCTTACTTCATTCCCCATGATTCGTCCCCCATGCTTCATCGCCCATGCTTTATCGCCCATGCTTCATCACCCATGCTTCATGTCTCGTTTCATTCCCCATGCCCCATGTCCATTGCCCAACGCTCCATGCCCCATGCTCCAAGCCCCATGGCCCATGCTCCATGCCCCATGCCCCATGCCCCATGCCCCATGCCCCATGCCCCATGCCCATGCCCCATGCCCCATGCCCCATGCCCCATGCCCATGCCCCATGCCCCATGCCCCAAGTCCCATACTCCAACCCAATCCCCAAGCCCCATACTCCGTATCCCATGCCCCAAACCTCTCGCGACTCACCATGTTAACCACATCTTGACTGCTCAGGAACTCGAACACGCCATCGCTCGCAATCACAAAGAACGGGTGCCGCTCTGACAGCGCCACAGTGAGCACCTCAGGCTCCGCGCACACGCCAATCCGCTCCGCCACCGAATCCCCCAGACTCCTTGTAAACGCCGTCCCAGGATACATGCCATTCGCCACCCACAGGCGCGGCGGATCCCCATCATCGTCGTCCTCCCCCCCCCAGCACTGCACGTCCGGGTCCTTTAGCCCTTCCAGCTGGTCTAGGGTTAGCACGCGCGCGCCACATGCGCGCACGCGCGCGCACTCGTCCGCTCTGAAGGGGGTTTGGTCGCTCGAGAGGTCCACTGCGCGCAGCGTAGCACCCCCCGCTGAGTACCCCTGCTTCTTCTCCTTTCCTTTCCCCGCTTCTCCCCCTGCCCCGTCTGCTCCTCCTCCTCCCCCTGTTCCTCCTGTTCCTTCTTGCCCCTCTGCGACCACAGCTCCATCCTCACCAGCTTTTCTCGTTCCTTCTGCTGCTCCGCCGTCTCCCCCGACTCGCCCTTCCCCTCCGCCCGCTCCCTCGGCACCCTCTCCGTCTCCCCTACCCGCGGCCTCGTCCATGTGCCATTCCGCCAGCACCGCGCGCGAGTCCCCCACGTTAGCGGCGTACAGCATGCGATCGCGCAGCAGCACGGCGATGCCCGTGCTGCCGCTCATGGTGTCGTCCACGTGCGATCGGTGCAGCTCCACGTTTGTCGTCACGAACGCGTCCCTGAACGCCCTGGGAACGTCCGCGTCCAACGCAGGGTGGTTCAGAAGGTTCCGCGCAAGAACATCCCGGGAAAACTGCGAGCACGGCGTGCCTTGCTCCCCGTGCCCGTCGAACACGCCAAAAAGGTGGTCCGACGGGAGCCCTCCGAATTGGGGTACCACACAGAAGCTGTCCTGATTCGCCTTTCCAGGAGCTTCAGGATAATACCCTCGCTGCGTCAAGTAGGAAAACCGCAGCCAAAACCCGGCTCCTGGAACCTCGAGTACCATTGCGCCGGACTGGGGCGGTGGGGGTTGAATGACGGGCGGGAGGGGCTGACGTGGCAGCTTCTCTTTGGCTGCACCCGCAGTGGCGCTGGCGTCAACATGAGCTTCGATGGTGGCCTGCTGCGTATGATTCGTCTGAGGCGGAATGGCACCGGGGATATTGTTCAATGTTTCGGCTTGAGAATCTCTCTTAGCTAAAGACTCTGCTTCTTGCCTGTCTACACCAACCTCTGGCTTTGATGCTGGTAAACCGGCAGCAGTCGCGCTAAGCGACGGGCTAGGTTCAGAACCTGTGGGCAATTTCCCCTGAGAATCGAAACCAGGTGGTTGTTGCTGCTGTGCCGGTTGCTGTTGAACCTTCTCTTGTTTCCGCCGGCCCTGCCCTTTCCGCTTATCAGATGCCACGTCACCATCATGATGATCAGGCGTCCCGGTAGAGAGTTCGTCGACGTCCTTAAGCGTAGCCTTGGAGCTTACGCACCCCATGGCGAATAGACGGAGCCGCGGAGCACTCGCGTTAATAACGTCTCGCACGAACTCCGGAGCTGCCCTAGAAACGTGTTGAGGGACTGATCTTAACGGTATTATATTGCGACGAGCAGGCCTAAGTCGTCAGATTGTTCTAATGCGACGAGCTGCGTCGAGATGACCTAAATTGTTGCTATTGTGTCGAGCTGACCTAAATTTGTCGAGTTCCTCAAATTAATCAAGATGACCTGAGTCCCAGGCTGCTCTAATGCGTCGATAGGCGCTGGTATGGACAATTCTACGGAGCCACACAGGCCATGGGTACGAGTTAATGAAAGAAATTAGCAGTCCCGGCTCATGTCAGGTCAGCACTGCGCTTCATTAATATCGCGAGATGCAACTTAGAATCGCACAAACGGAATGACCGAATGCAAAGGTGCAACATTAGGGCTCCTCCTAAACATAATCTGCAATCGAAAATCCCGTCAGGCAGAAACGCTGACAGGCAGCATCAGTGCGAGGAGAATAGCGACAGCGTTAATTGAAATCAGAACGTCGGACATGACTGTTCCGTACGAAGCGTCTAGCAATATCTCGCCGTGAGCAGCACGAGCGCTCGCCGTAATGCTACATCGCAGCCACCGACGCCTGCTCGGGACGACGCCATGACGCGCTGCTAACACCTATCACCCACAATATCTTTCAACCCCATTTCAATCGAGACACCTAAACAAACACGTCTTATTCCAGAAGGTTTAGTCTTGTGCATCAAAGTGCGATCGTCCTGGGCGCCAGGGATATTAATCAGCAGCCCATGACCGACCTAAGTCCTAGACTCTCCCTAAACTGCTGTAACTATTCCTCCGACTCGTCAACCTCAACCAAACAAAAGACAATTCCCATACCATTCCCGTAACGCACGCACAGACTGGGATGAAACCGTGGAGGCACGGAAGGAGCAGAAGCAGACACCAAGGTGCGTCAAGTTGCTGACTGGACGCAAATCGCGAGGTGGAAGGGGTGGGGTGGGGTTTGATTTGCCTGCCTACGCTGCTTCCCGCCAAAGGCACTGTAGATTGGCATCAGTACTGGTGACGAGCATTCTATGCGTGGCGTCGCGTGGAGGGGCCGTGCGATGCTAGCGACCATGTACGACCAGGTGCGTTTGCGATGGGCCTCCAGTGGACGTCAATGTTTCGTGTAGCTAAATACCCACTGATATCATCTGCATCTCTAAGAGGATGAAACGAACTCAATTCATAAGAATCAATAAATGAGCACTAAAATCCTAGCAATTCTCTAGAGTTCGCCAGTAGGAAACCTAACGTAGATTTATCAAATTTCCTAGCGAACAAAAAGCAATTTCGCGGCTCTCCATTCAATACACAATAGCCCCCTTCAGTAGACTGCAAGGAACAACCACAGGATAGAACAGCAGAAATACTCTCAGAACACTAATCCCCACTAGCGAACTTACTGCATGAAGTAGGCAAAAGCAATAACAGCAAAAAAACTCACCAGAGGAGGTCGAGGGCCATTGGGATCCGTTATCTGCACAATACACGTACCAAATAAAACACCAGTACCAGAAGAATGAAATGAGAACAAGCATGAGTTGGAATTGGTGAAACAACAGGAGCATTGTGGGAATGCTGTAAATTTTCTTAGACCATGCCGGACTTGGGATGTTGTACTTGATTTATATCCAGCAGGGAACATGGTGATTGACCAAGGAGAACCAGCAAATAATACTATTCGTTGAAGGATGAGGGGGCACGAAGGTGTAGAGGGAGGGGCTTGCACTGAAAGGACTTACATGTGAGTAGTTGCTTGAGAAGTCTTGCCAGAAGGACCGGAAAGTGACAAACTGCGTGGCGGACTGCAGGGGGGAAAGGGGAGAGCAAGGGAAAGTGAGAGGAGGTAGAGGGAAGAGAGCAAACAACCATAACACAGCCTTGCACAGTAAAACGATGCAGTAACCTTGCTTATGCCACATTGCATTGTTTGTTGCCCTCACAGTACAGTTGCGCAGATACCCAACATAGAACAGACTACCCAACGCACAGAACCTCGATCGTCTGGCTTTCGCATCCCCACCTTGATCATCCGGATCACATCTTGCGTGGTGTTGCTCCCATGGTAGAACCTCGGGTGCCACTCGTTCGCACTCCAGTCAGCAAAGGTCGTCGGGTAGTGGGATATGCCCTTGGGGTCTTGCATCTGAAAAAATAGTCAAATCAGGCCGAATCAAAACGCCGCAAAGATATAAAATAATATATCGAAAAAAAAGATATTACTTTCTTATGCTACTCGCGCTCTCGAAAACCATTCATATGGAAGGTGTTCCATGAATCCGTTCTTTTCTCTTGCTTCAGCGAGCCTGTCTACCGCGACTCACATGCAGCATGGTTTGGATGTAGTGCTCATCGGCGCAGCACACCTTCCCCCATTGAAACCGAAACTGCAAGCAGACGAGTGGAAGCAGCCCAGACGCAGAGATTAGCCGGAACGAAGACTGGGATGGCAGCTTGCACTGACAGGCAGAGAAGGCTAGCTAATGGACAAGGAGCGGAAACCTTCAATTGTAGGATAGTGCTCATTGTGCTCCCGCACCAGACAACCCCCATGCCGCATCTTCCTGTCCCCACCATCACCAGCATTGCCATTCTGGCACCATCACAAACAGTAGACGTGAATTCATTTGCAAGTCACCTGTGCCCGAGCCCTTACTCCCCATTCTTACCACACAACCCCTATTGTATATGCACAGCACGGCACAGCACCCACCCATCTCCATCCACTCCCTCATTCCCAGCCTCACCGCGCAGCTCCGGTTGTGCACGGCGTAGTGCTGCGTGTCCTGCACCACCAGCTGTGCATGGCGGCGCTGCAGCACGAACCACTGGTTGCCCTTGCGGTAGTCCTGCGCGCCCACCAGCGGCTTGAAGATGTGCGGGATGTAGCGGCGGAAGGTTGCGTTGTACGGGTCGGGGTAGCTGCAATGGGGGGGGAGGGAGTAGAGGGGAACATGTAAGCGGAATGAACATGCGCCCACCAGGGGCTTGGAGATGAGCGGGATGTAGCAGCGGAACGACACGTTGTAGGGGTCGGGGTAGCTGCAGGAAGAGAAGGGGGGGGGGGGGGGGGGGAGGGAGACGAGTATTGAAGCAGAGTGAAGGCGGGGCGATCAACGGACTGGCGAGAAGATGTGCGGGATGTAGCGGCGGAAAGACATGTTGTAGGGGTCGGGGTAGCTGCAGGGGAGGGGAATGTTGAAGAGACATGACGTCGTGCAAGTGATGGGGGTGAAGACGTCGGGATGTAACGCTATGATGCAATGTAGCTCTACCATGGACTGGAGTGTAGAGATATGATGGGATGTAACGCTATGATGGGATGTAGCACTACGATGGTATGTAGCGTTACGATGGGATGCAGAGCTATGTTGTAACGCTGAAACTTTGGAATGTAGAGCTGTGTACACTCTAAGGACTGTTCTGAAACGAAGACATACCCGGGTAAGTTACGGGGTCAGATGGTCAGGCATTGACGAAGCTGGTGTGAATCACACATTCACGAAGCTGACAGAGAGGACTGGACTCACGAATCGACGAAGCTGACAGAGGTGGAGGCGACGTATTGGTGAACGAAATCGAACGACCACAGCGGAATGCAGCTGCGCACAGGAAGGTGCGGGACGGGGAGGATTGGGGGGGCCGGGAAGGAGGCTCAGGTGGAGAGATACGAGAATTTCCGAAGGTACCTGAAAATTGAGGCGATCTGAAGCAACTACTTCTAGAGATCGCGGTTGCTTTGAGTTCTTGTTTTGCGTGCGACGTCCCTGCGTGTATGTGCGACGACCATTATGCGAGGACGTCATTCCAGTCCAGTACCTTTCGGAGAGAAGCGCGAAGTGTTGGTTGTCGGGGTCCTGCAACGCCGCTGCCAGCAGCCGCCGTTCCGCGTCCACCATGCTTATTCCCCCCCATCGCACCTGACGGACGGTCAAAAAGGTGAGGCAAGGAAAACAAGAGAAAAAAGGCTACTCTGGTAGCGGAACTATGATGGGCCTGCAGTAACAGACCAGTTTCGTGAACATCACACACGACGCGTCCAGCAACACTCAATCACGGTGTTCTGGCAAGTTCTACGCATTTTTCTCCATGCTCACCTCTCCCCCTGGAATGAGACTGTTTTTGAAAATGGCCGGCGAGTCAGCGGGGAAGGCGAAGGAGGTGTTGGATGCATGCACGTAGACAGAGTAATGGCCCTCATGCCCCGCGAAGAATTTCTCCCAGAGCGGGGCGAATGGGAGTGGCCCACGTGTCAAGAAGAGAAACGCTATCTTCCCATTTTGATGGTCTCGGCGATCATTGACGTCCATTTGCGACGAGGGCGATTTTCTGTTCGCTAGGTAAAGATAGCTGCGCGAAGTTGTTGTGGAAGCAGATGTCGCTAAAACAGATGTAAATATGGAAAAATCGACCCAAAAGAGCGGAGATAATACGCCGAATATGACTATTACCGAAGCAAGCACTCGCAGGAACGTGTTCGCGGAAAGGGGTTTTACAGACGACTCATTGAGCGATCTGAAGGAAGAGGAGCGGCGTTGCAGCAATGGAGTCGTGTGATCTACATTTTGGTTAAATGCCCTATCGTGAGACAGCATCGTGTTCACCAGTGAAACGCGAACAGCCGTCAGTGTGGCTTATTAGGTGACGAAACTAGGGGGAATGACTCGGCGGAACTAGCCAAAAACGAATGCTGCGTTTAATTAGGAGCGTCGAGAGGAGGAGATGCAAAGAGCAAGCAAGCAAAAGCGACAGATGGCAAACGGTATGGTTGGAGGAGGGCGAACAAGCTAGCAAGGCAGCTTCTTGTTGCTGGAGCTTTGTCTAGGTGTAGTGTAGAGTTGAACTCTCCATACCATAGACCAACGGCAGGCTTGAAAATTGAATGACAACGGAGTGTTGGAGGGGGGCGACATATGAGCGTGTTGGAGTGTGTGTGGTGGATTTCGCCCAGGCCCGGCCCCAAACCGACAGCGTTTCGGCAACCCGACAGGTGAATTGACGACGGGTCACGAGACGGGACGGGACTAGGCTAGGGGGCCGAAATACACGATCAGGCCAAACAAGACTGCATGGTTTGGTAGCCCCAGACGTGGTTGGGGTTCTGGGACTAGCAGGGTTATTATTCGCAGGAAACTCGAGTGAACAGTGACAGTTCGTGCGCAGCCACAGAAGCTTGGACGACGTGGGGGAAACGTGGCTCAGAACCGAAGGCGAAAAGGGTAACCGCATGTCAAATTTTAGGGACAGTGTAGGAGCGTGAGCCCGCAATTCCGCGCGTCGTCGGATGCATTCCCGCGGAGGTGATGCGACTGGACTGTGTTACTAGTCATGCCTGTCAGATTGAGGGAACACCAGGGCCGCCATTTACAAGGCGGTTCGCCTTGCTTGCGAGCCATCCAAATGTTTGGCATGTGGTTCGCGCTTCGATACTGCTTTCTTCAGTAACAATCTAGCAGGTGTTCACCTGCTGATATTTGTACAACTTCAAATGATTCAAAAGTTGAGCACCTTATGGTGCATGTTTATTCCTCTGCTTGCTTGACTTCAGCCCATAATAAGCCTAGAAACACTAGGCATAATAGAGTACTCTTTAAAACCCAAGGACCTGCTGCGAGTTCTTCAGCAGGAACGGCAACGAGGACACGTGGAATTTCCTTGCAAACAGGAAGCAGTTCCGCACAGTGCCCTCCACGACACAGAATCCATTCTCAACCGTCTGCGGAGCAGGCCAAATCAGCGAGACACATGAGACGAAGACGGACATAGCATGTGCACAGCCATGTGAGATGAGGGCAGGCAAGACAAAGCAAGTTGGTGTTGAAGCAGACAAAACACACACAATGACAAAACACACACAATGACAAAACACATGCAATGAAATTGCCAAGGCAGCAGTGACCATGAGCCAAACAGGGCACTCAGAGGATCGCATATTGTGCTCCAATAACTAAGCAAGACTAGAGGTTTGATATACAGACAGAAAAGTAAAGGAGTTTTTACATAGAACTTACTGGAGCAGGTTGGGGTTTCTTAGGGTTTTCAATCTGCCAGGAGCGAAGGGCATGGGCAGAAGAAACAGCCAGACAAGCATGGGCACATCAGAATATACATGTGAATATACATAAATACCAGGGTATTTAGTGGGATAAGAATGAACGGCCGCAACTTACATAAGTATATCTATTTCTGAACTTCTTCCAGTAGTAGCGGTACTGGATATAGTGCTTAGTGGACTGCTCAACAGGCAAACAAACATCAGCGACAGGGATGATATAGGGGGGGAAGAGGATGAAAGGTGGAAAAGGGAGGATCAAGGGGGGAAAACGAAGGGAACAATAAGGGAAGGAAAGGAAGGAAGGTACAGTGGGAGGGGAGAAAGGGGGGGAATGACGGTAATGAAGGAGAAATGACTTGGATGGTGAGGGGAACAAAGGAGAGAAGAATTCGATGAGGGAACAAAGACATAGGAGTAACACACAGGGAGGGATGGTCCAAGGACAAGAGTAGGCATGACTGTCAAGCAGCCTAAGGCAGACCTGGATGGCCCGGAGCGAGCACGGACATTGAGACATGGAGTACCAGGAGACATCATGGTGAGAGGCACACGAAACCCAAATATTTTATCGAGGCACCTAGAAACACACCGCCCAGTGTAGAGAGTAAGAGAGTGTGCATGGCACCTTGATGGTTTTGAAGAGTTCGTTGGTCATGTTGTACGAGTAGTACGTCTCGGGGTGGAACCGCCACTGGCTCCAGTCCGCCAGGGTCACCGGGAAGCGCGAGATCCCTGCTGGGTCCTTCAGCTGCGCAGAGAGGCGATGAGAGGAGGGCAAGCCGAGAGGAGAGGAGGGGCGACTGAGCCACATGTGTTCCACGGTGAGAGGCTCAAAACTTGGATATGCGTGATTCAAGAGTGATAGTTGATGGTGGAAACAGGAGGGACGAGCGGGTAAAGACACGAGGGCAAGGGTTGCACGAGGGGGAACGAGGGGCAGGGAGGGGGGAGGGAATAGGATACTCTATGGGTTGTGCCTGTGTGGAAAGCGGCAGGGCAGAGCGACATACAGCAAGGAGGATCTGAAGGTAGTGCTCGTCGGAGCAGCAGTACTTGGAGTGCTGCGCCCTCCACTGCCACGGGCGGAAGGCAAGTGGTGGGGATTATGGGGGATGATGGAAGACACAGGTGAGGAGGTGACGCGAAGTTACAGCAGAACATAAAATGATTTCCTCGGACCTGACGTGTCTGTGCGTGTTCCCTGCCGTACCTGGCAGGACTTGGAGTGCACGAAGTAGTGCTCCGTGTCCTGCACCACCAGCTCCGCGTGGGAATGGTACACGGGGCTGCATTCTTCCTCCCTACCAACCGAACACCCACCCCACCCCTCCCCTTTCCACCCGCACCTGGCAGGACTTGGAGTGCACGAGGTAGTGCTCTGTGTCCTGCACCACCAGCTCCGCGTGGCGGCGCTGCAGCACGAACCACTGGCTGCCTTTGAGGAAGTCCTTTTGCCTGATGGCCGGCATGTGGATGTCCGGCAGGTACCGCCCGAACGCCTCGTCAAACGGGTCCCTGTGCCTGCACGGGGGCGGGGAAGGGTGGAATGGGGGTGGCGGGGGCGGGGGAGGGGAGTGGCAAGGAAGGAGGGTTGTTGAGCGGCATGCGGATGTTCGCCAGACGCCTCGTCCGCGTGCCTGGAGAGGGACGGGGAGGAAGGGGGACGGGGAGGCGTGGCGGGGGAGGCGGGAGAGGACGCGGGTGAGGCATAGGTAAGCAGTCGTTTCGTTACGTTCATCAGGTGTGCCACCTTCTCACATCACACCTTTCCTTGAGTTGCTACTTTGGGCCGTGTTGCAACGAGAGGGTACGCAAAGAAGGAAGCGTGGGGCGGGGTGGGGGTCGGGAAGGTTGGGGGGAATGTGCGAGGGAAGCGGTGTGCTAGATGGGCGTTGGGAAGGAAATTCGGATACATAATGATATGATGCACTTACGCCTCGACGAAGCTGATGTGCGTGCTGGAGATGTAATCGTGGATGTAGTCGAACGACCACAGCGGAATGCACCTGTCACCGTCACGCAACACGCGCCAGACAGTGGACCGCGGGGTAGCCATGGCAAGGACGGGGGAAAGGAGATTGAGAGATGATGAGACGCGGCGAGCATAGGAAGACAAATGCCACATAGAGAATGAAAAGGGGAGAGTGCATTGGGAAAAAATAGGGAAAAATCGAAGCGAATTCAGTGGGTCACCACCCGTCGAAGGACTCACGATTCCGAGACGAGGACAAAGTACTCGTTTCGCTTGTCCGTGACAGCGTAGGCCAACAGGCGTCGCTCGGCAGCCACGACGGACATTCGACCCCACTCCACCTGTACCACACACGCCGATACGGATTCATCATGCGGAACTCGGAGAAGCGAATTCCACGACACTCATATATAGCAATCCTCACATAACCGGATACCAATTTTGCGAAATCTGGAGAAAGCTACCCGCACAACAGGAACAACGGAATTGACGCAAGAAAGCTACCCGCATGAGAGACAAAGCCAGCTAGAGGTGCGGCGCGCACCTTGCCGCCTGGTATTTGCCGGTCAACGAAGGCTGGCGAGAAGTTGGAGGGGAATGTGAAATTGGGCTGCGAAGCGTGCACGTACACGGCGTAGCGACCCTCGTGACCCTTCAGGAAGAGAGAGTGAGCAAAAGAGGGGGACGAGAACAGCGAAGGACCGGGACGGACGGAATACTGTTAGGGAGATGCTTGATGTTGGGGAGGATGCGCATAGGAGAACATACGGTGAGCCCGAAACTCCAACCCTAGTAAAACCAGTTGCAGAATTCTGGATTTACAGCGGGGCCCGCGCAGACTCTTGGGCATGCGTACATAGAAAAACTTCTCCCACAGAGGAGCCAATGGCAGCGGTCCACGCGTCAGGAACATGAATGCAATTCTCCCTCCCGCATCGGCTGGCTCCGCGGGAGCGCCATAGCGAAGCAGGGATGTCAGTAGCGGGGATAACGTCGCTGATAGGAGGAGGAAGAAGAGAGACGAGACGAGGAACGACAGCACGAAGACCAGTGCCAAGGAGCAAAGCACGCGGCATATCCTCTCCGGCAGATAACCTTTTAGAGGCTTCTTATCCACTAGCCTCCCACCCTCGGAGATCATGATTGTCTATTGAGCCTCAACTGGCTACTATAAACGAATCGCTCTAGGTGCTATTTGAAAGGCTCTACGAACGATCTGGACGAACATACAGGAACGGGGGTCCTCGCCGTCGTTCTCCTCCTGATCGAGCGCAATCTATGCG